CTGTGGTTATCATTGCTGTTTTGGTTTGTGTAGGTGTGGTGCTTCTTGCGCTTGTGGCATATTTTCTTGTCCGAAGTAAGTGGGTTGTGGGGACTCACTTTTAAAGGTGCAACATGTAACATTTCTGGTGGAGGGTCTGTCAAATGCTTTTCTTCGTGGAGATGTTATTACTTTGTCACAGTATGGAATTAAAGCTTTCTATCTTCGTGGAGGCATTTTTGAGCTATAAAACCACCTGTAATTGAATAAATGTAAGGCAGAGCTTTAACGTCATACTTTGGAACATTTCTGGCAGAGCAATAACTTATCCATAGAAACAAGCAAGTGACGGACCCTCCGCCACAAAAGTTACACAATGCACCTTTAACTATAATCACTGTGTCTGTTTTTCAGAGTTCAACCTCTGCAACAAGACAGGAGAGCAAGGTTTGTATTACAACTTCATACATACACTTCAGAGGTTCAGATTTCTGCTCATGTGAAAATCATTTTGTGAAATAATTTAAGACGATGGGATATAAGATGATCATGAAATAATGTGATACAAAACAAAGAAGTAAGGAAAGAATAGAGGACTAATCCACTTGTGCATGCTTCTGCAACACATGACAAGATAAATGCAATGTTGTAATGAGTTTTCCCACCTATAGTAGTGTACTAGTAGTATAGAATCACCTTTGAAGATGTACTATACATGATGTCCTATAACCTTTTTTATGAAAGATCTGAGTACATGCAGATGCTTTTCATAAATGGCTCCCTTCTCCCTTCCCAAAGCCCTGATACTTGTTTTTTCCTGACTCACTGGAAACCATCTCCTTCCTCTCTAAAATTCTTGTAACATTCAGAACAAAGTATATAATTTATTTTACCTGAGACAAGTAATAGTTTGGTGCATTGTTGATTCTGCAAAAATCTGTACTGTTTCTCAGTCCTTTATGTTGTTTTTTTCCCCTTTTGTATGTGTAAACCACCGTTTGTTTTTGATACAAATGCACCATGTGCCTCTCTGGTTAATCTGTCTGTCAATCACACCCTCTGAAATCTGAGAGAGAGGACACAGCTTCAGAGCCACTTGTCTTTGTGAAGTTTTATCAAAGTGTGTGGTTCTGGCTGGTGAGGAAAGCAAAGGGGAGTCTGAAATCTAGCTCTGAGGGAGAGAGACTGAAAAGGCCCGGATAACACCCAAACAAGAGGAGAGCACTGGAGAACAGCCCCACATGCTACACCCATCAACACAAGTTTAGCTCCACATTTATTTAGGTTTATGTGGAAATGTAAATGTTGACATTTAGATATCAGTATTTAGACATCAGAGTCTATAACTCGTCATACAAACATGCAAAGGTGGCTAGATCCTTTGTTGTTGCCGTATTTACTCCTTTTGCCTGTCACGTTATTTTAAGATAATTTCTTATTATAAAATTTCACTATATTTTTGATCATGTTTTATCATGAAACTATCTCGTGATTCCATGATTGTTTCATGTAAAACGTGATACTGTTGACTTTTATTTAAAGGTGCAACTTTTGAGTGTAACTTTTCTGGTGCAGTGTCAGTCAAATACTTTTCTCTGTGGAAATGTTATTGCTCTATTTGGAATGTTATTAAACCTTTCTATCTTCATGGAGACCAAACCAGACAAAGTTACAGGTCAGACCTGTGGAGGCGACTGTGCTCAAAGTCAGAATGTCTGTTTTTCTAGATATTTTTGAGCAATGACACTTGTCATTTCATAAATGCAAGGAAGAGTTGTTTAATGTCATACTGTGGAACATTCCAGGCAGAGCAATGACATCTCCATAGAAACAAGCATGCGATGGACCCCCAACCAAAAAATTATATAATGCACCTTATTTTGTGGTCTCTGTAGGAGCAGATGCTGGCACTAAAATGGAGACAATGGGAGAAGAGGAAGATGATATTTATGAGTCTCCCGATGAACTTCAGCCTGGGATCTATGTTAACATTTGACCGGCTGTGGTACAGACACAGGCTGAACCAGTGCCAACAGTTTGTACAGCTCACAGATATGAGCATATGTACATAGACCACATCAAAACTGGGACTAAACCGAGACTAGACCAGGACTCTACCAAGACTAGAACAGATCAAACCAGCTCTCAGAATTACAAATCATGTAAACACACTATGATTTACCATCTATTCATACTATGGTTAGTGAGAATTGCAATTACACATTTTCTGATCTGTGTTACAATGTTATTTTCCTTTTCTTATGTAAAGTTGATTTAAAACTGTTTGATTCTAATACAATTTTTTTTCTTGATTGTTGTGTGAAAAACCTTTGGGGGACCCCTGCGATGTTTCTGAGACCCCCCTTTGCCTATTTGTAAAGCTTTATGTTGTTTCTGTGAATGCTATTTTGTTCATTAATCAGGGACAATGCACATAAAAGCATTAACCTACACAAAGCGATAATATGTTTGTGCCAGGTTATAGCAAAATTCCTAATTTCCAAATTTGTGTTTATAGCTAATGACTTTGAAACAGCCAACAAAGAACTGAACACAAACTTGCTCATGCACCTTTATTATATTGAAATAATAAGACTTATTTTTATTAGTAATATGTTATGCACCAAAGACAGGGTCTGCAGACACACAGAAGCTGCACTGTGGGATAAATACACAGATGCATAAAATTAAAAATTATGTGTATTGCACATTTCATAAGACGTGCTCTCCACTAAAAAACAATTGACAATAACACAGAATCTAATAATATGATTTTTTTTTTAAATTATGATTATTATGATGGTGATGATTATTATGATAAATAAGTACAGATTAAGAAAAGATGGAAGCTATCACTTCAGGTAACCAGAGTGGATTGGGATGGTCCAAAGGCTCTCAGATTGCTTAAGAGTAAGGTGGAGCTAAGAATCAGAGCAACTCAAGATTACATATATATATATATATAAAAAAAAAAAAAAAAAAAAAAAAAAAGCATGTGAACATATAAACAGGTGATTTTAGTTATTTATATCCTGTTTTTATTTATGTCCTGTGGAATGAGTTGCCAAAAGAGGCGAGGGAATAGCCAAATATTCATTTGTAAGTATAATAGTACCACTGTCATGTGTAGAACTTTTTGAACTTCATAATTGTATGATGATACTAGGTTGTATGCTAAACTTTATATATTAACAAAAACAAAACAGGCACACACACATCACCATCAACAACTGGACACAACTATAATGGGCACTGTTACATGCAAGCATTCGTTTTGTTTGTGTACTGCTCTCTCCTCTGCCCTGTGTGTTCAGGTGCTGTGGGTGGGACCTGAGCTGGAGCTGATTGGAGCTGCCAATCAGAGTGGAGAGGGCCATTTAAAAGGAGCTGTGTGCTGCCTCTCTCTCTCTCTCTCTCTCTCTCTCTCTCTCTCTCTCTCCGTGTGTAAGGCTGCTAGCCCAGGTTTGTTTGTTTGGGAGGATTGGTTAGGTAAGTTTGGGGATCCCTGTACATTCACACCACGTAGATTTTTGTTGTTAGACACATTAGTTATCAGTTGTTGCCACCCTTGTTGTTTTGAGTTTTCCAAATTCTTTTTTAGACCAGGTAGGCTAGGCTTTTGATTTCTTTCCTTTTTGTAGCCTAGTTTTCAGTTAGGGCCTGTTTTGGTATACCTTTTTATTTGTTGATTTGGCACAACTGGCCCACGCCTCCTCCCACCAACCTTTTGTTTGTTTTTTGTGCACTTAAATGAATGTTTGGCTGTAAAATAAAAAATTTGCCAAACCGACCTTGCCTCAAGGATTGTTTTATACACGTTGTGTCCCTTGTTGGATATAGGGGACATAACAGGCACATTTTAACTTCATGTTTTCTCATTACTCTATAATCCAAATTAGTGCACAAAGACCGAAAGATAACGCCAGTAACTCACTCACCTCTGCTGTCTTTTCCAGACAAGTACTTTCATATATGTGCAGTACATGTGTAATCTGATGTATAATCCAACCACAGAATTATAGATCCATAAATCCAGCAGTTCATTCATTCTGTGCTCTGTGGTCCATGTGTCAATAAATCCTTGTAGTCCGGTTGATTTAGATGCTCTTTGAAACATTTCATTACAACTAATTTAGTTAACAAACATAAACTTTTCCTCTTTGAAAAATAATCTAATTATTTATCCCCAAAAAAGTCCAGATAAAAGCACATTCTATCCTTTTCTTTCAAACTCCTTCAAAAGTGAAGCAGGTTGCACTTGTCACTCAGACAAACAAACTCTCTGGCACCAACTGGTGGATTCTGTCCAGTCATGACAGGGCAGGGTCAGGGCCAGTCCATGGGTCCCATGGGCACCAGGGGCCCAGCGCTGTGCACATAGCTGTCCTGGGGGAGGGACTAAGCCCATGCAGCAGCGTTGATGTCTGCCTGTCAATCAACTGCAAAGGGACAATCTGATCGGTCGTTTAAATGCTAGGGCAGCAGCTTACAGACAGAAGGCCCAAAGAAAGAGAGGGCATTTCTGAACGTGGAACCATCAAAATAACAAATCTGATAGGGTACTCATATTTATGTTATGTCTGAGAGAATGTTAGATCTAAAAGAATACAACATTAATTTGATTGATGTAATAAAATCATTAGAATCATTACATTTTTTGTTGACTTCAAGAGCTAAGAGAGATAGATGGATTTGACCACTGGAGTATCACTCACTCCAAAGCAAACCAAAGGAAACAGGCTAATACAGCCTGACCAGTGCAGCAGAAAAAAACCTGCAGCCCTCTCCTTCACACACAAAGTCCACTTTACTGTGAAGCTGAATGCAAAGTGTTTTCTATAATAGTGAATATTCAAATGTATGTTCTACTGTTACATGCAAAGTGTTTTCAGTACAGTGTGTTTTTAGAATATTTTATTCCATGGAAATAAAAATAAGGAACAAGGTCATGCTTGTCAAGTCAAAACAGAATGTAATCTGGGAGGGGCCAGTTTAACAGTGAAACATAGTTTATCCACATTGCACCAGACACACCAGCAAAATGAGGAGCTGTCTTCTCACCATCAGTTTAATAACAGGTAAATATGATATATATATATATATATATATATATATATATATATATATATATATATATATATATATATATATATATATATATATATATATATATATATATGTATGTATAGTGCATGAGACTTTTTGTTGTTGTTGCTAAAATACAATAAAATAAATATCACTGCTGACAAGATTCTCCTGACAATGCATTCATTTACCATGTGTCTTCAGCCTGTTTGGACAACAGTCAAGGGGCATGCAGCTCATATGGCTGTTTTATCTGTAAAGAGACAGACAAGACCTGTAAGACCTGTACCTATGTTCCTTCTGAGTGCACCTTCAGTGAGGTACAGGACCAGAGGGTCTGCCTGTGCGGCAATGTATCACTGAGTGACTGCTACAGGACGTCACCGCAAAAAACCCAACAAGGTACAGAACACTTATATTCCATAAACTATTGCGGTCTTGAGGAGGGGTATTATGCTAAATTATTGTTTGGAACTTTCTACCATGTTATAACACAGGGTATCCCCAGGTTTGACAACCCCAGATTTAAGACTTTTTAACGACCTTTTTAAGACCACTTAAAGGAAATTTAAGACCAACATCGCACCCATTATGCTGGCGAAAAACACCAATAATAATGACCAAGCTACTACTATACATGTACTATATAATCTAAGAGCCACTGTGTATTCAACCTGCACTTCCCCATGATCCATCCAACATCTTCCTCCACTGTACTGATTGTTTACTCATTGCCACTGGCGGCTGAAACCAAAATATTGTTTGTGCATACTTCAAATTAGACGTTCATTCATGTTATGTGATTTCATGGAGTTTTTTTTTCCTCCCACCCTTTAACATTGCACTGTAGCCCGGTTGAGTATACAAAAAATAGGCTAATGAAATTTAAGACCTTGGACAAAATAATTTAAGACTTTTTAAGGCCTTAATTTAGGAACATCAAATTTAAGACCTTTTTAAGACTTTTAAGACCCCGCGGCTACCCTGTAACATCATTTCCTCACCAAAAACATGCCTAAAGTATATGTCAGTAGCAACCTGTCCCGGGCACTTTTAGTTAGCAGTAAGAATGATCAGCCCACAAGCCTGTGTCACCCATGCTCCCACACAACAATTGGCCATAAATATGTAAAAGTATGATACAAAAACTATATTATTTCACAAACTGATGGGGTGCAGTAGTTTCACTAGTGGGATATGAGGAATTAGGTAGCTCTATGAAGGGGGAGACTTTAAGATTGGACAAAAATGGATTATCGCAATATTTGTGAGTTCACAAATGCACAAGAATCCATCTTGAGAGAATCCCATGGAAAGGTTAATGATGTGGGTGGGCAAATCATCAAGCAACATTGAGGTTTGTGTGTAAGCACCAAAACAAACACTGACATGTGTATATGTGTAGCACTTGTGGTCGGATAAAGAGGCTTCAAAGAGTGTATATTTACTTCCATTTAATGCCGTATGCACTGAAAAACAAGAGACACATTTATGATCATGCTATTCATGTCCAGGCACACTTCACAATTAGGACCTGCGAGGCTCCCCCGAGTTGCCTTCCCCTGCCTGCGTGCATCCCCAGCATATCTCCTGTCTACAATCGTATCTGTTTCTTGTGCACATGAAATATAAAAAAATAAATAAATAAAATTTCCTTTATACAAATCTGGTATAAAATAATAAAAAATGAGGTGGGTGGGTTCATTATCATTACTGTGCCTGCTTAATACTATTGCTGCTTAATACATATGTGTGTGTGTGTGTATATGTGTGTGTGTGTGTGTGTGTGTCCTCATGTTAGCCATGTTTCTCACATCACATGTTCATGTTTAACACCACATGTTCATGTTTTACAGGGGGCCAATGGAAGACGACAGTGGCGATAGTAGTTCCTATCTGTGGAGTTGCTGTGCTACTGGGGCTTGCTGTATTTTTCCTCAAGAAAAGTAGGTTTAATTTATAGAATATACAACTAATTTTGTCACAGTTGTGGCATGTTAATGAACAGACCTGAGACAGATGTAAAGTCACAAGAGGCAAGAGTGCAGACTAGTCCAAAACTCTACCTGCTGCATTTGTCTGAGTGTATTTGCATAGTAAATGATTCCAGTTCCTCTTTCAGGGCACAACCTCAGGAACAGCACAACACCAGAGAATACGGAGGTTGGTATTTGAAAATTAAAATGCAGTTACTAGAGTTAAAGGTCCTACATTACACAAAGTGGACTCCTGCGGGTTTTAGCAATGTAAGAATTTAGAATGCTGTTACCTTCTCAAAAACATGCACAGAGTTGTTTTGTTTCATTCACACATGTTTGAGAAACCCTTTATTATTAGTCTGTCTACATCTTCAAAATGCTCTGTTCCACCCTGTGATGTCATGAAGGTGTAGTTTTCAAGTTAACAGCTTCAGTTTACCTTTAGTTCAGTAGAGATGGGAAATACCAGGATGTTTCAAATGATTATAGTGAAGGTGTGTGGAGTTTAAAAACACAATGGACAACTTCCTGTATTACCACAAGACATCACAAGGTGGAACAGTGTTTGAAAGAAGAACTCAAACTAAATAAACATGAGTGAATGAAACAAAACACAACCCCAGGTATAATTTTGATGAGGAAACAACATTATAGCTTAGACCAAGAAAACTGTATAATATAGGTCCTTTAATGTAATTTAATGTGCCTAAAAGTGAGTTACATAAATAGTACTGCTTTTTATTTACTTTTTGTTATGTTTTGTGAAGGTCCATCAATATGATAACCCAAGAGAGCTCCCCCTAAGGCCCAACTCAGGAACTGCAATCAACACCATTTATGTCACAAGTACAACATTACCCACTGGAGACTCTGCTGGGCCTAGTAGTATTAGCCCTACTTATGCCACTCTTACAAGTACTACTACTGCTACTGGCACAAGTACTACTCCTCCTCCTACTACTACTAGTACTATTGATACAGGTACTACAACTGTGTACTTCACTGTGAACCATTCCACCTCAGGAAATGCAGAGACTGAAAACACCAACGTCAGCAAAACCACAATATCTGATGGAAACTCTGCAGGTGTCATTTACTCAGGGGTAAAAAACCCAGACGAGGACACTGAGCGGTAGGGACTAACGCATTTTGAGTTTCTTGTTGAAGTAGGTTGTGTTCATTGCGTCATACTTTTACACATTTTTTAAATCCATGTTATAATGTTGTTTCCTCATCAAAAACAAGCCTGAAGTTTTGTTGTTTCATTCACACATGTTTAAGACACAAACCCTGCATATTTAGGCTCAGTTCTTCTCTCAAATATCTCAAAACACTCTTTTCCACTTTGTGATGTCATGCGGAAATAGAGGAAGTACCCCACTGTGTTGTTAAACTCCACACACATTCACTGCTGCATTTATATTAGTCACGTTTATCACATTGCCATATTAAAAGCATAACGCAAATAAAAATGAAAACTTTGAAATGTCCTGATGTCTGTTGTATTTTTCAATCATATGCTATTTTCTATATTTGAGATTAAAAATGCACTTTAATCTTAGCCTTAACTATATTTACTAGTGGAACTATTTGGTTTAATTCCGTATTTATTGTCACTTAAGTCCAATAAAATCCAAACAAGATTCCAGTTTCTCCCATTTACAGCCTATTAATAACATAGTAATTAGAAAGTCATAGACTAATAATACTTTTAGTCAATAAAAATATTACAAATAAAAATATTATTAGTATAAGTATCGTTATAATGCATTGATAGATTGTCTTAGAATGAGAAATTGTTTGCAGAAATGCAGGGTTTTAGCAAGAAAATCACACCGGCCGCGCCTCATTTCTCTTTCCTCGCTTCCTTCCCCTTGATTCCTCTCCTCGATCCTCCATTTTTCAGCTGTCAATCAAATGTGTCCTATTAAGCAGTGTCCCAAGGAAAACCACAGACAGAAGGAGTAAACTTGAGGGAGGCTTCAGGAGGCAGACATCAGATAAAAGAATCAAACTTTATGGGTCTCAGTGAGGAGTTTATATCCTCTCTCCTTCCTGTATCTCCTCTTTGGGTGGGACTTCCTCACCCGTTTCCTACAAAATCGAGAAGAGGAATCAAAGAGAAGGAAGCGGCGAAAGAGAGATGATGCACGGCCATTATGTGCATATTTACCCTGTGCTCTCCTCTGGCCTTTGTTGGTTTGTTTGTTACTGTCATGTCCTGTACCCCTTTGGATGTTTGTGTTTGGGTTTACTTTTGGTTGTTCTTGTGTTCTGCTAAACAACTTTTCAAGAACGGTTCTGCATTTTGGGTGTTCCTCCTGCTTTAATCGAGACCAAACCATGTCAATATTTTGATCATAACATCTCAAATGAACAAAATATTTGAAAAGGTCAAGTGTTGTTTATCAAAGTGTATGAGCGTGACTCTTTGAAAGGACTTAAAAAGGAGCTACAGAGGAGATATGATCTATGCATGAAACAGAGATAAGCACACAGTTTTACATTCGACACTCACTTGCAGCACATCACCATGAATATAGGTCTTCTACTTATTTTTTCACTGACTACAGGTAAGAAACTGTTAATACCAACTAAACTTATTTATTGCATATATTTGTTATATTTTTCTTGTGAAACATAAAAGTTCCAATTTCAAGAAATGTTAAGTTGGTCTAATATTAAAAGTGCACTGTGCAACTTTTCTGGCTGTCATTGTAGAATGTTTCACAGTATGGCATTAAACTTCTATATCTCCATGCAAACAATGAAATGAGTTACATGTCAGATCTGTGAAAAGGTGCACCACACTCACAGTAAGAATGTTTTTCAGGGTGATTTTGTGCAGTAAAAATGCCTGTGATTAAATAAATGCCAGATAGATTTGTTTAATGCCATACTGTGGAGCCTTCCAGACATTGCTAACATCTCCATGGACACAATAAAGTGGCACACTCTCGTCACCTGGATTTGTCATGCTCTGCCTGGAATGTTCCACAGTATGACATTAAACAGCTCTACCTTACATTTATTCAATAACAGGTGGTTTTATAACTCAAAAATACCTTAAAAAAACAAATATTCTGATTGTGATTGGAGTCGCCATTTCACAGATCAGACCTGTAACTTCCATGGCAAAAAACATTTGACAGACGCTCCACCAGAAAAGTTACAAAATGCACCTTTAACAATCCTCTTTAGATATATTATATATTCACTCATTCCAATTGCAGAAGTCTATATAGTCACGTTTGGTTATTTTTTTCTTTCTACTAGCAGATTTGAGCTGTAGAGTGTTGAATTGTGAACTTCTATCACTCATTATAGACACAAACTAACTATGTAAGTGTTGCATTCTGTTATTTAATTATTGCAGATGCAGGTCATGTAATTTTTTAACAATATTGTACATTTCGAGTAGTTTTTTGGGGATAATTCTGCTTTACGGTTTGGTTTCCATATTATTGTTTATTGCAATTCAAAGTTTGTTATTGCGGCAGACCTATTTAAAAGTACACACAACTTTTCTGGCTGCTTGCCCCACCCCCAAAGCACACACACTCTCTCTCTTACACACATATACACACACACACACACACGCACACACACACACACACACACACACACACACACACACACACACTCTAACGCACCAAAACATAACTCATGATTTCTTAATAAATTAAATCAGATAATTATCCTTGCAATCATAAGGCCTATTTCAGCGCTTCCCCAAAATTCCAATTCAGTAATTCTAAGATTGTGATGCTGTGAGACGTGGCTGAAGCTACTGTAAATACAAAACTACTACAGTTTCTGCTTTTATGTCATTTCTCTCTCTGTCTTGGTGTTATATCGATACATCAGTCTGCAACAATTTATAATCACGAAATATCAATATTTTTGCACACCTCTACTCTACTCTGCATTTTAATGTCTGCCGCCTTAAAAAATACACACAAAGCTGTATTAATGCTTTATTAAGGAAATATAGCTGAACAAAATATGACTACACAGCTCTCTAATAGATTTGTGATAAAAAGGGCTGGGGATGAGTTTGCAGTAAATTTAAATTACATCATTTGGGAAAAATAAAACAAACTAGCCCAAAAATAGAGGTAGCGCTTAGCTTTTGATTCTAAACAGTAAAAACTCATATCAGTCGATCTCTATATCTGCTTTTCCTGTCTTGTTTTTTCAGCTGAGTTGTTTAAAGCAAAGGAAACAAGGCTATAGTGCACCTTTGATCTATTTTATTCTTTTTAACAGGTCGTGCAATGGCAATGTTGTTGCCAGTGCCCAACTGCTACTCAAATAGTTTATCTCCAATGGATAAAGATCTTCAACGAAAAAACAACTATAACATTTCCATCAAAGAATACCAATTTGGTAAGAGAAATATTGTACAGAAGAAGTTTGTTTAATTTGTGCATTTGACTATATGTTTATAATTCTGACTTGGCTTGGTGGGATACTACGAGTGGTAAATATTTATCATAGTTTTACATCAGTTAAGGGGCTGTTGGTGAAAAAATAAAAAGCTAAAAAGGAAAAGTACAAAATTATTGAAAGTGGAAAAAGGACAGTTTAAATTTGTACATGTAACAAAATAAGTGTTATTAAGGTGTATTAATGTTTGTGCAATTAAGTTTTTGCCTTGTACATTATGGTTACTAGGTAACTAATTATGTGTTCAAGCAGAAACTAAAATAATAAATGTCACCAAAATTTAAAAACTAGAAAAATATTTTGAGTCTGTTTTATGTTTTAGTGAAACGGTAGTCTAACCTGTCACTTGCACTTTAAAGAGCCCGTATTAAACTATTTCCTGAGCTATGTTATAATGTTTCCTCATCAAAAATATACCTGGAGTTTTGTTTTGTTTTATTCACACATTTAGCACACAAACCCTGCATACTGAGGCTGGGTTCTTCTCTCAAACAGAAAACACTTCGTTCCACCCTGTGATGTCATGTGGTAGTACAGGAAGTGCTCCACTGTGTTTTTAAACTCCATACACCTTCATTAGAATCATTTAGATCATTTCAGTCCTGGAATTGCCAGTCTCTGAACTAAAGGTAAAAGGTAGTTGCTGTTAACTTGAAAAGTGACATCACAAGGTGGAACAGAGGAACTACACAACTCTCTTATAGGTTTGGGGTTAAAAAAAGGGCTGGGGTGAGTCTGTAGTAAATTTAAATTACATAATTTGGGGAAAATAATCCAAATCGGGCTAAAACTATCGGTAGAGTTTATTGGCCAACAGTTTATTTTGATTCTACACAATTATTATCGGCATTGGCCATTAAAAAACTCATATAATTCTATCTCTATTTATATCTGATTTTACTGTCTTGTTTTTTCACCTAAATTGTTTATACCAAGGCGATAGTGCACCTTTGATCTATTCTTTTCTTTTTAACAGGTATTGGATGTGCAGGAGGATGGGTCAAGTTCAACTGTAAAAACCCTTGCGTTAGCTGCTTCCCAATGGTCAGAACAAAAAAGATCCCAAACGAGGCTAAAAATGTTACTGTTGTTGTGGTTAAAGATCTCCAACAAAATGACAACTTTAACATTTATACTGGAAAACATGAGCAGAAAATACAAATTGGTAAGAGAAATTTTGTACATAAGTCATTTGTTCATGTGCAATTATAATGCCTAAAGTGCATATGACAGATTTTCATGTTTTTCTAATTATGACTTGGTTTGGTGGGATAGTACCAGTGTTAGTTTTACATCTAAAAGACTAAAAGGAAAACTACAAAAATACTCAAAGTAGAGCTGGGTTAAAAAACAGAATCCCTCTACCTAAATCATTAACATAATAATTTCCCACTCCACAAAACACCCGAAGCGAAACAATTATAATGCCAGACTGTCAATGTAAATGTCTGTGTCGATAGAATCATTTTAGAAGTAGAATCAAACGTGCTTTTGAAGGATTTATGTCTGAGCAGCAGCAGTGAGTTGTACTTCCTGATAGAAATCTTGGCAGCGACGAACTGATATCACCTAGAACCTATCTAAATTCCACTGCTGCTGAGAAAATAGTCCCTCAACATGTGACGATTCATGCGATGAAAGGTTAGTTTTATTTCAATTATTCTATCAACACAGACATTTACATTGACATTCTGGAGTAATAATAGATTTTCTTTGGGTGTTTTGTGGAGTGGGTAAGTTTGTTTTTAGTGGCAGGATAACTATGGCTATTGACATGCACTAGCCTAGCACCAGCGACCTCTGCAAATACAAGGACTGGATGGAATAATTTTTTAAAAAGTGTCTCCACACTCTGGCTCACTAGGAAATTAGGTCCTATGTCCAAAATTCTTCACTGTCCCTTTAAACTTTCATTTAACAAAATAAAAGCGTTCATTTATTTACAGTTATGATTTTATGTTTAATATTATACAGTTTGTGCTATTTGGCCCTGGTTGACATTGTGTCATATGCCATATGTGCTGACCATGTCCATGTCTAACAACAATGTAAAATTATAAATGTCACCAAAATTTAAAAACTAGAAACAGGCTTGACAAAAAAATTTAGTGAAAAATTTAAATTATGTTTTAGTGAAATGGTAGCCTAACCTTTCATATTCACTTTAAAGCATCCATATTAAACAATTTTATGATTTATGTTATAATGTTGTTTCCTCGTCACAAACATACCTGGAGTTTTGTTTTGATTTATTCACACGTTTAACACACAAACCCGGCATATTTAGGCTGAGTTCTCCTTTCAAACAGAAAACACTCTGTCCCACCTTGTGATGTCACATGGTAATACAGTACAGGCGGTGCTCCACTGTGGATCATTTTAGTCCTGGAATCACCAATCTCCACTGAACTGAAGGTGAAAGCTGGCTGTTAACTTGAAAAACTACCACTACATGACATCACAAGGTGAAACCCAGTATTTGGAGCTTTGGTGATGCAGACAGACTAATAATAAAGCGTTACTCAAACATATGTGAATGAAACAAAGCACAAATTTGGGTATGTTTTTGAGGAGGTAACAGCATTATAACACGACTTAAAGCTTTATGATATTTAAATATTAATTAACATTTGTTTGCAGTGAATTGCAGTCTACCGCAGATTAACCACGTTGCCCCCAGTAAATCACAGACTACAATTGGATGTGGCTTCCCGGCTTCCAGAGAAAATGACCAACAAATATTTTTATACAAAGAAACAAATGATTTTGATCGTAAAGATGTTAAAACAATCAACAAGCACGCAAATTACACACTGAACTCCACTGGTTTGTATATCACCTTCACTGAGGTCACTTTAGAAGACCAAGGCACGTACTGGTGTGTGGTACAAGGAGATAACTTCAACTGGACTTACAGAAGAGTGTTTTTCACTGTTCATGCAGGTCAGTAAAAAAAAAAATCCTCCTCACAAACTGTTATGGCCTTCCAAAATAGGCTCTATTCACCCTTACGTCACAAACCAGGAAGACGTTTGGAAAGATGTGATTACAATTTCCCAGGCCCAGTTTTCTTCATCTAAATGACACTGTAGAGTTCCGTTATGTTCGGCTAATCATCTATTGCAACCATAGCTCAGTTTTCATAATTTCCCCACTGACACAACTCCGCGCACACTGGGTACATGCGATTAGAAGCGATGAGGCACCAAATTCAAGATGACTCCAAACAGAACACACGTATGCAGTCTACATTTTACTGCTGATGACATTTACTTCAATGGGTTTTATCACAGTCGGCTTTAATAGATCCATGTTAGGCGAGCCCATTGTCGCTAACTACATCGAAAGTTGTAATCGCATCTTTCCAAACGTCTTCCTGGTTTGTGACGTAAGCGTGAATAGAGCCTATACACACTTCTTCAACACTTTACGGATTTTCTGATTTATGTTATAATGTTGTTTCCACATCAAAAACATACCTGGAATTGGATCTCTATTGAACTGAAGGTTGAAGGTAGGTGTTAACTTTAAAAATACTACTACATGACATCACAAGGTGGAGCAACAACAGAGCCTTTGGAGCTTTGGAGATGTACACAGACTAAGGGTTACTCAAATGTGTGAATGAAACAAAACACAACTCCAGGTCTGTTTTTGATGAGGTGAAAACATTCTAACACACCTTAAAGCTCACAAGAGTCAATTTTCCAAATATTTTTTAAAGTCACAAGGTTGAATAACATCATATCTGCTTTTTTAGACACATCGACAGACCAGGACAACATGCAGAGTAAGACAGGCTTTTTAATATAATCCCATGAGTGAGACATGACTGATTCTAATTCATCTGAAATGTGTTCTGTAGGAATGGTTCGGATTGTAACAGGAGCGATGAGTGTAACTGTGATGTTACTGACGCTGGTTGCTGTCATTATGGTTCTAAAACATTGTAAGTATTTTTTTTATTTTATTTTTTTTTAGTAATAACTACACTTCAAATAGTACTCAACTTCTAATCCGAAGATTGGTGCTCCGAATCCCAGTCACACAGACGAATGCGGTTATATCCAAGAGACTTAACCCACGTTGCTGTATGAGTGTGTGTGAATGAGTGAGTGGTCCATTATACAGTGCTGTTTTACTTTGGTAAAACAGCACTGTATAAGTCAAATCAAGCTGCTAAACTGGGTAGTGCCTTAAGGACTAAAGGAGAGAGTGAGGGGGAGAAACCACGGAGCCTGGAGAACTCGAAGGCAGAACATAGACTGCAGATATAAATGGACATAGCCAACCCGCCAGCCGCCCTGTTCCAAATAGGAATTGTTCACACTTCTGGGTCTTGTCTCAATTGACTTTACTTTGGGAAATTGTCTAAATGGGTCCTAAAATGTTCGTTTGAACCCAATCTACATGATCCTGGTGTTTTTATTTCATTATTTTGTCCGCAAATTAAATAAATTCCTATTCGTAATATGGAACGCAGCTCCAAATTCACCCTCATAACCACTAGCTATGGATAAAGGGCTGGAGTCAAATGAAGTTAACTATCGTGAGCTTCGTTTGACTGGAGCCGGCGCTATGGTGACGTCACACCTCCTGACTCCACTTCTTTATACAGTCTATGGGCGAGAGTGGGGAGTAGAAAGGGGAGGGCCTGGAGGACTACAGGGGAGAGAGAGAAGTGGTGGGGCCTGGAGGACTAAAGGGGGGCATAAGGGGCAGGGGCCTGATGATTAAAGAGGAGGGTGAGAGAGAGAAGGGGTGGGGCCTTGAGGACTAAAGGGGAGAGTAAGAGCAAGAAGGGGTGGATCATGGAGGACTAATGTGAAGAGTCCCATTTAGTAAAACCGGCAGGACCTGGAGAACTAAATGGGAGAGTGAGAGAAGGGGCAGGGCCTGGAGAACTAAAGGGGAGAGAGAGAAGGGGAGGGGCTTGGAGGACTAAAGTGGGGTGGGGACTATAAGGGGCAGGACCTGGAGGATTAAAGGGGGGAGTGAGAGAGAGAAGGAGTGGGGACTGGAGGACTAAAAGGGAGAGAGAAACAGAAGGGGCAGGGCCTGGAGGACTAAAGGGGAGAGAGAGAGACAGAAGGGGCAGGGCCTGGAGGACTAAAGGAGAGAGAGAGAAACAGAAGGGGCAGGGCCTGGAGGACTAAAGGGGAGAGAGAGAGACAGAACGGGCAGGGCCTGGAGGACTACAGGGGAGAGAGAGAAGAGGTGGGGCCTGGAGGACTAAAGGGGAGAGTGGGTGGTATAAGGGGCGGGACCTGGAGGACTAAAGGGGGGCATAAGGGGCAGAGGCCTGATGATTAAAGAGGAGAGTGAGAGAGAGAAGGGGCGGGGCCTCGAGATCTAAAGGAGAGAGTGAGAGAGAAGGGGCGGATCGTGGAGGACTAATGTGAAGAGTGGGCAGTAGAAGGGGTGGGGCCTGGAGGACTAAAGGGGAGAGTGTGGGAGAAAAGGGGCTGGGCCTGGGGGTACAAAACAGTGTCTTTAAATGCTCCATGTACTCAAAAACCCTTTGTAATTGTCCTTTTCCTCAGGCAAAAGAAGAAATGACTCTTCAGAGTGGAATAGAACGGTTTGGATCACTTTTTTTCCTCCTACTTAATTTAGTTTTCTATGCCAAAATTTACAATAAATATTTTTGTGTTGCATGTGCTTATTTTAGAATGCAATTTTCAACAAGAATATGGGAAAAAATTTATAGAAATTGTACTTGCAGCTACAGAAGCGCCTGCTCATTGTAGCTTTCTATTCGGTCAACAGGAAGACAATGTCTATGAGGAGATCCAGCATCCAGACACAGGAGGCGGATTGACCACGGTGTACGCCACAGCTGAGTCCTGTAAAGAGTCTCTTCATTTTGTGAGGCTGGATTTTGGAAAAAGTCCCAAAGCTCTACAAAGCCCAAACCAAGCGCCTCCCATCATGAATACAGCGCTGTGTTCACTAAGAGGAAGGACAAATGAACCATGTCCTCCACAACAACAGGGAGATGCACTCCAATCTTAAGCCACAGTAGTAGAGGCTGTATTTTTATTTATTTTTTTGTATTATTGATTCTTTGGCTCATTTTTACAGATAATTTCTATATTATAGGTGCACTATGCAAGTTTTCTGGTTGAGGATCATGAAAATTTTCCACAGTATAGTACCTTTTTTCTCACACTTTGAACCCTGCGGCTAATAAAACGATGCGGTTAATATATGGACAGATTATTTGTTTGGCACACTGTCCATTCATATTTACAGTTTAAGGTTTGGCAACACAGCAGATGCACACAGTCTGAGTGCAGAAACTGCTGCTGTCTGTGAGGGTAACACATGGATCTAGGGTTAATATGAAGTTGCTACACTAGCTCACAATATTGTCAATGTACTCAAATAGTTTATCTCCAAGGGATAAAAAAAGTTATGATTCTAAATTAACATTAGTGAGAGGGATACATCTTACCCGTGTGTGTAAATGACGAGAAGAAACATCTCAAACTTCAGTAATCGAACATCCACTCATACCTGATTAATAGAACTAGCATCGCTCCTGGGAGAGTCTGAAATCTGCTGAAATCCTACAAGACACTGACATGAAGACAAGACAGGAAAGCGGCTCTTGCAGGAGACATGCTCCGTAGAGCACTGGGAGAGACGGGGGTGATGCGGCGAGGAAGATTCTAGTTTGATTGTGTTTTGAACAGTTATTTTGCTCTTCATGCACACACCCTCCTCATGGAAAATACACGCAGAAATGCAGATGATGCAGCTTTTAAGTTAACGGCAACTGATCTCGCTGACAAAGAAGGAAACAACTGCTGCACGTGAGCTTGGCATTAATGAGTCGATGATGAGACACTGGCGACGGCAGCGTGACGAACTGGCTCAATGTAAAAAGACAACAAAAACTTTCTAAGGCGATAAAAGCAGATGGCCCGAACTTGAAAACGTTCTTGAAGTCGTGGACACCTGCAACTTATAGACAAGTGCGGACTATATATGTACAATTTAAAAATTTTGTTAAAATTTAGTTGATGTGGTTTATATTCAGGTGCGCTCAATAGTCCGGAAAATACGGTATAACCGTCTTTTCTTTCCAAAACATACTTATTACTTATTAATTAGAGATTGCTAAGTTTTAGGCCATTTCGTATAGCATTTAATTTCCCCACCTGAAAACTTACATGGTGATCCTTTAAAAAGATGTAAAAAGAGTTCTGTGTGATTTGCTGACTTTTTCGTGAATAATAATAGTTTTAGCAATAATTGTGTGCATTTTTTTTTGCTACACTTGCTCTCTCAAAATAAATATATCTTTAACAGCAAACTGAAGGGATCATAATTGTCGAGAATTGGGTTCAGTGACCTTATTTTTATAGACAACCAGTGATGGACACGAAATGTATTTAGTTACAGAATAAATGTATTCTGCAACACATTCTCATACATGGTCCAATCAAAGTACTGTATTCTGAATACTTAAAATACTTTTACATCAAATTGCATTTGAATTATAGAGTAAAGACAAGGTAATAATGACAGCTTTATAATTGTTTTGCCATTTGTTGTGCTTTTCCTTTCACTAATTGGAGAAGGAAAATCATGTACTCACCACAAGAGCAGTGTTTTATATCTTTCTCTCAAATTATGTGCAGTTTATACAATAAAAAAATATAAATACAATAAATACAATTGTTTATTCCTCTGATTTTTAGAAAAGTAACTGCATTCTGAATACCACCAAATGAAAAAATAACCGTACTGAAATACAGTTACTCAGAATTAGTATTCAGAGTGCATATTCTCAATACAGTTACTTCCCCAACAATGAAGGCAACAAATATCAATGCTGGATCAGAGAGGCCATCGAGTTACACAAACAAGGCCCAAGGAGCATACACGGGAGTCCCGGAGAAGGCACATCCATGTAAGCAGCCTACAAAACACATCACTACACCATCATATGTCAGACAAAAAGAGTTCTTACTTAAATATTTGCTGTTATATTTAGATTACTTCTAAAGCATATGTTCCTTTACATGTGTTGAAATAACACAACAGACACCTTTCTTTTTGAGTGTACTGCTTTTCCTTTAATTCATGGAAACTAGTTCGTGTCAGGGGCAAAACCGCTACTAAAACATTCATAAAAAATAGTTAAAATCTGTATTGGTATATTGTGAAACTGGTGCACCGTATGTCAAACCTAGCCCAGATCCATGCCCTCTGCTGGGCCTAACCCGGAAGCGTCCCCTCCCTGGATGCTTTGGTAAATGGAAGCCATGTCTGCATTGGTGTGGATCAGGTTGGCGAATTCGGCCATGCTGGGGCTCCTCTCCACCTCGGGCACAGCCAGCAGGGCGGCGACAGCGCGCATGGCCGATCGTCTCAGCTCTTCCTGCTTCTCGAACTCCTGCTTCACAGAGCCAGCCTTCACCTGAGAGAGAAAAAGACATGTTATTTTCTACTTTACTTGTGGACACAACATCTGCTTTTGACTGTTAAGGGATCCACCAAAAGTTTGTCTTTTTGAAGCTGTTATTGGTTTGTCTGGAAGTTATGGCATTTTTTTAAGCTATCTGATCCTTTTTGTAGAGACAAGCCGGTGAAACCACTTGGCCAAGTTACATGTCAGATCTATGGAGAAGCAGTAGGACAGTAGGAATGGATGTTGTTTTAACAGTAAAATATATGATTTGAATAATGAAAGATATGTGAGTTTAATGCCATAATGCAGAATAATCCAGGCAAAAACCATAGCATCTCCATGGAGACAAGCAAGAAGTGTACCAGAAAAGTAACACAGGTTATCTTTAATAGACAATAATTAGACCTACCTTCAAACAAAACAACTAGTCTCCATTCCTTGGTTCTAACTCTAACCCCGTTTTTGCTGTTACCTATACCTGACCATCCTTTACTAAGGTAAGACACATTTGAATTGTGCACGAGATTGGTCTGAGAATGGAAGGATGTATATATACTTTTACAAAATTACATTTACCTTGGTTGTGCATGTGGCCTTCAGTGGCTCCACGAGTCGGTCTAATCTTTGTAAAACACCGGCAGGACACAGGGAGGCTAGTCTGGCCAGCATCAAGAAGGTCAACATCTACAGATGAAAAAAATCACATTAAGGCTGCAACTAACCATTATTTTCCTAATCATTTAATCTAGTGATCTTTCAGATAGTTGTGAAAGGCCTGTGAATGTGAGATTGTTACGACATTTTTCCTAACCTTCTTCTCTCAGCTCATAGTATGTTTTGGAGTATGTGTATAGTCCAGATAACAATTACTAAATTACCAAATTAGAAACAAGAAGATACATTTTCCAATTTTTGTATTTTCTGACAGGCTTCCAACTGCTCTTCATCCAACAAACAACTATTTGAGTCTCACCCTGATGTCATAATGGTCTTTGAGTCCTTCCTCCACATGGTCCAGAAACTGCAGTACATCCAGCCCCTCGAGGCAGCTGTCCAACAGAGTGTACATGCACTCGAATGCAGCCTTACGCACGTCCAGGCCATCGTCTACTGTGTGTTTGAATGGACCCATCTCCACCTGAAAAAACATGTGCACAAGTCCAAAACATCAACAAGTGAGCATTGTATTTAGAACAAAGTCAGGCCTCATAATGTTGGTGTTAGTTACCTAGTACCAGTAGAATTAACTGAATATTACTGATATGAATTTAGCTAACTTGTTAATTGATTTTAAATTGAATTTTGTTTGTTTCTTTATTTTGTATTTTTATTTGTATTATGTATTTATTTTTGTTTGGTTTATTTTCTTTCAACCAATTGTGAACACATATACATCTCATTTATATCTGTCTGTTTTCTTCTTCTCCTCCTTTCTCTCTCCTAGCCATCATCTCTTTGCGTTCTCTTCCACACTTCCAAAAAATGTACTTTAATGTAACAATCAATATTGTAAATATTTAATGTATCCCCGTCACTTAGTGCTCAATAAAGAGAGAAAAAACTGTTATTTACCTACATTAAATATGTCTCAGAAAAATAGCTTTTTAAATTTATTCTGTATAATCTGAATTATATTACATATTATTTATTCTTCTGCTGCTGTGACTTTAGATGGACAATATCGTTTAGGAGACAAATTTTTGAATTGTTATTTTGCAGTATTAGCTTGTGTTATTGTGTCTTTAAGAAAACTGTCTGAAAGTTGTGTTTTTATTTTATTTTATAACACATAAAGACAACATAAATGTAATATTGTTGCATCTTGGCACTGAAGTTAAAAGTAAATTTTCTTTTTTTAATATGACTCATGATTTACAAATACGTTTTAGTGCATTTCTAATACATTGCAAAATATGATCTGAATATTAAGATCAAGTATATCAAGATGTATTTTGTCAATATTGCCCACCCCCTGTTCTCATAAAAAGGTCTGTCTATAGAGAAGAAATGTCTAACTTTGTATCCAAAATACAAAAGTACTCACATTTTACAATACTGTAGAAATGGTACTTCAAATATACCAAACAAACATATACTTTGAATCGTACTTCAGGTAACATGACTGACCTCTCTGATCAGGTCTTTTCTGATCTGCGTCTCTTGGTACAGATGGGGCAGGACTTTTGTCAGGAGTCCCCGAATGAGAGACGGTTTATTATGAGCTGCAGAGTTAAACATGACCAAAGCCACGCGCCGCACATTGATGTCCTCATCTTTAAGCGTGGCTAAAAAGTCCCCTGTCATAAAGAGATAAAACACATTATTAAAAGTCCTATATTACACAAAACTGACTCTTGTGAGCTTTAAGCCATGTTAGAATGTTGTTTCCTTTTCAAAAACAGACCTGGAGTTACTTTTTTTCTCATTCACACATGTTTGAGTAACCCTCAGTCTGTCTATATCTCCAAAACTCAAAGTGTTCTGTTCCACCGTGTGATATCATGAAGAACTAAATATGCAGGGTTTGTGAGTAAACGTGTGAATGAAACAAAACACAACTCCAGGTCTTTTGATGATGAAACAACATTATAACATTGATCAAAAATAGAGTAATATAGGCCCTTTACTCAAATGTTGGTGTATAATAGAGCACATTGCAGATTAAAGAGATTGTATTTAGAGTTATAAAATACATTACCTATACAGTCCTTTAGCAGTGCGTCAATGGGAGCGGGTTGGTCAATAATAGTGAATTTTACAGCCGTTACCACTGTGCTACGGGCTAGAGCAGATCCTAAAAATATAAGGGAATATTTTATCAAATTTTTCAGTTAAACATGTATACATATGTAATGTGAATTTAACATAGAGAACACAGTTAATAAAAAAATCCTTCAGAATCAATAAAGTATTTATCTATCTATCTAAAATAATACAAAATCACATCAAAATCACAAATCTCTTCTCTGTACCTCCTATGAGCTGCTTTTTGAGTCTGGGGAGGAGCTGATCCGGGTTGACCAAAGTGAGTTTTCCCAGACATTCAGCCACGAGGTTCCTGGTGCCCTCCTCTGGACACAGGGCGTTCTGAAACAGCAGCGCCCAGATGGACTCCAGGTGTGGGGAGAGGCTGGAGGCTGGACAAGCACTGCACAAACACACACACAGACAGTGTTTTAGTAGCATTTACATTCATTCAAGGCAAAGTAGATAATCAGGGTACATTTTAACAAATATTTATTATAAATATTATTTGGAACATTACGCATTTGAAACATGCATAAACCAATAAGCAACTTTGAGCATTGGATGAGCTTGGAAGAGATAACTAACAAACAATTTGGTAACTGCTAATTTATTGTGTGCATCAGCCATTATGTACAACAGTGTGTTTAAGTTTGGATACATTAGTTTTGAATGTATGTAAACATGAACATTTGGTCATGTAAAGCATTTGAATCTCTATGTAGAGTCTAGGGACAAATATAAAGAACTACTACTTGCTAAAAATCATTTGTATTGCAAGTTACGTCACTTACTCAGTCTTTACTCAGTCACAGTTGTTCTACCACCTTTGCATGTTTCTCTCGGTGTCTGAAACCCAAATCATGCACCACATCCTTCATCTAATACAAGTACAAGATCTGGAGATGGGTCCCCGAGTACTGTACGGCAGCAACTCAATGCTTCTGACATCATTTGTCTCAGATTTAGAGAATGAATTTCCCACATGAGAGATCAATATGACAAGATAACAGAAGGCAATGAGGGTGAACTACTTAGGCCAAAAACACAACTGAAGAATATAATAAAGGAAAAGAAGGGATCAACCCACCAAACTCTGATTTAGTGTCCAACTGAGTAGAAAAAATAAAGTATAAAAATAGTATTCTCAGGGATTCAATGTAGACAAAAAGACTGTGTAGAGGACTAGATCACAGACCTGATGACCTCTTTGAGTGAGTGCAGGAGCAGGTACTGCCTCTTTGGCTGTGAGGCAATCTCTTTTAACATGAAGGGGAGATACTCATTCAAACTGCCCACCGCCATGCTGCCCAGAGCACAGGACGCCGCAGTCTTTATCTGAAATACACAAAGGGTCATAATTCACATATTCATCTTAAGCAGTCAATTTTAGTGACAATAATAATATATAATAACAAACATATGAAGTCTCTTATGAAAAATATTTTGAAATAGTGGTAATTCCTTCTACTTTTTGCCATTTTTAAGTAATAATCAGATAATAATCCACACTTTTGGTCAGTAATAAATATATTTTAAAGTCACTGCTGAAAACCCACCTGTTCAGTTGGTTATCTATACATCGGTGTGTTTAATTCCCTTGTAATGTTTAGCGTCTTTATGAATTTATGAATGAATGAAACCATTTGGTCCGTACCTCTTCACTGGATGAGGAGAAGGCCTCTAGGATGACTGCCTGGACCTCTTTACTGCCCCCCAGACTGCCGCTCCTCCCCACCTCCCCCAAACACAGCACGGCCAGGACCCTAGCCGACTCTGGGCAACTGTGGCTCTTCACCTGGAAAACACAACAGATGCTAGATATATACTACTGCAAATAATCATGGAAATATCAAATTTAAGATACAGGATATTTACTTTTTATTCAAAATGAGGGAGAAGTCATTTCCAACGTTAAACAGAAAAGTTAAACGCTATTACTATATTACTATTATTATAATAGTTTAATATGTCACAAAATCTGGCTAATGGACAAATGTATTTTACAGTGAGGAAAAAAATACCTTTGTCCCATTGACAGATTTCATTTTTTTGTGGCGAGTAATGTTAGTTTAGTCAGACATCTGGTTCGGATAACTGTGTATAAATATTCCACCTGTTGTATGAGGCTGGAGACAGTGCTTGGCGTGTCTTTGGGGCAGACAGAGCACAGCGCAGCCACACAGCGAGCGACAGAGTGGTACGACTGTCTGTGGATGTCTGACAAACACTGGGGACTGTGGAAGGGCTCCATCAGGGACTTCAGCAGCTGACTGTACAGAGAGATGAGAGAGGAACTCTAGCAGCTGAGTGTAAAGAGAGTTGTGAGAGGAAGTACAGCTTTCCTCCGGCATCAAATCTGCACCTCTGAAGCCTGAGTGAACTGCCCCCTCTAGTGGTTGAGATTGATATGCATGTGTCATAAGTAGAGAGGAGAGCTATGTTTCTTTATTAGGCAATTTTAGATCATTATTGTGTTTTAGAATGAACAAAATTGTAAAATTATGATCTACGTATGTTACCGTTAAATAATAATTCTCAAAAAGACAATATTTCATGATTGATTTATGCCTGTTCTGGCAGGTTGTGTCTAGAAAATGCATTTCTGTATATTTCTCCACTCTATTACCATATTATAATTAACCAAAAGGAATCTGTACACTTGAAGGAAACACAGATAAAATCCCTTTACCTAAATCCGATGTTACTGGCTTTGGAGAGTACCAGAGCCTGGAGGAAGTCCAAAATGGCTGCCAGTGCTCCTCCTTGAAGCAGCGGAGAGTGAACCAGTTGGAAGACTCCAGGGAGCACAGAGGAGCTGATCTTGGCCAGAGACGAGGGGCAGGCTTTGGCCATACAGGTCAGCAGAGTGATGGATAACTGGACAGACAGAAATTATTTTTTTAAAAAGCAAAGAGTAATAGAACAGTACTCTAAAGTAAAATTGTAATTGTAAACAAAGAATGAATACCTGTGACACGTGCATGTCGATCTCGTCCACTAGAGAGGGCAGTTCACTCAGGACAGGCTCCAGAGCTGCAGGTTTGATGCTGGAGGTTTGATGCGTGACTAAAGCTGTTAAACACGCCAACGTCCCCAACTTCAGCGCTCTCTGGTTTTTACGCAGGAAAGAGCCCAGCACCGACAGGGCTTCAGGCAGAACAGAGGACAGGTCAATCTGAAAAACATACACATGCTTTGTTGATGCCTCGGAATGACAATGGTTAATATCTGTGTAGAGACATTTTTTATATTTAAAACATAGGCATGATTGTTATCAGTAAATAGGAAGGTATCAGTATAATATTGAGCATATGGTCTATAATTATCAAGAAAATGTTTTAATTAAAGAAACTTGGAGTGCATTCTTAACTATATTAATGTATCCTTACAAGGGTATAATGCAGTATTTCTAATTAGGTGCACTGTTTGGCTTTCCTGATGAGAGAGTCCACCTGGTGTCTCCATGAAGATGTTATTGCTTTGCCTGAAATGTTCCACTGTGCTTTTCTCTTGAAGATAGATATTATTTATTTTATGTTATACTGTGGAAGACTCAAGAAAAAACAATAACAACTTCTGATTTGGACTGGAAAAAAATAATACTTGGATGTTGACATTTATTTTAAACATTGTCCAAATAACAGTACAGCTACCCGGCCTCCAACTGAGAACAAACCTACAACTAGAACACAAACTCACAAACTATTGGGATTCAATTTTTTTTTAAAGAACCTTGAGAGGAGATGAGGTGATCAGAGTGATGGTTCGCACTGTGGTCAGTCTTGTGATCTCATTCTTCAGCCTTTCCAGAAAGATGCTGAGGACACCCTTTAACTCCGCCCCCAGGTGGTCGCCCAGGTGACAAACCATGTGACCCATGCAGGAAATAGCCCTCTCTTTCACTTCCTGGTCGATGTCTGTAGCTTTGAGCCTCTTCATTGTTGAAGAGAAGACCTACAAGAGAGAAAATTTGAGTCTATTTTTTGGCTTAAAGGTTACATATTGTGGTTTAAAGCCCCACAGTGTAACTTTTAAGACCCAAAATTCCTTTGACTATGACATTCCACAGTACGGCATGAAACTCATCTTTCTCCATGGATAAAGTCTCAAACTATGGATTCAACTTGCAGTGACACGCCACCACCAGAAAGTTATCTGGTGTTGCTTTAAGTCAGCATTATTTTCTGGTCTGGGCATACAAATGAAAAACATTGGGGAATGTCTTAACAATATTGAGTGTAATAAAGTATTCTGCTTGTTCTTAAAATATGATGCACTTTGGTTTGGGTCATAAATGGTGTTAAATGAAGAGGGACATTGTGACCTCTTTGACAAATGGCTTGGGGTCAAATCCTCCAGCAGCGCTCTGGTCGAGCGGCCTCATGACTTTGACCAGCTGCTGTGTGACAAGGAGGGCTTCTGAGGTGATCTTATAAAAGGAATCTTCTACACAAGCCACCACCGGGGGCAGCAGCACCTATTAGATAAAACATTAGAAATGAACAGACAGAATAGTACACTACCATGTCAGTCTTTAATAATTTAAAACCTAAAGAAATAACAATAGGCAAACAACAGAAATAAACAATAGATAAAATTGATGCTAGTTAGAAACCTGCATGTGTGGTTGGAAGGCTCGTGGAGGGTGAGACACCAGAAGGACGTGGAAGAAGGACAGAGCATCGATCCTCATGGTGGAGGAGGTGGATTTGTCAGTCAGGGAGAAGACTATACCTGCACATGGTTAAAAGAGTTAAAGCTGATTTGGCTCTATAGCACTACACAAGACCTTTACCCTCTAAGGAAAATGGGAAAAAAGCAGATCATTTACTAAATTTAAAGATTTTTGAACAAATTTCACCCCACACTCTCCCACAATCTCACACATTACCAGGTATTAGGGCGGGGATGTGTTCCTCCAGTGCTCCTGGTACAGTGTGGGCCAGTTCAGTGAGGACAGAGAAACAGCCCTGTCGAGATTTAACACTCTTGTCCTTCAGCTGTTTGTGAAGAGCTTTCACTATCACCGGCACCTGCAACAACACACCACAAATCAGGAGTATGTACAGTTTAACAGGAAAGGAAGGAAGATAGTAAATGAAGAACCATATTGAAAATACTTCAGCAAAATATAACATTCACATTTATTCTCTTCTTTTCTCCACTTTCAGGGTTAAAGGTCCAATGTTACAAAAAATTGACTCTTGTGAGCTTTTAGCCATTAGAATGTTATCACCTCTTTGAAAAACATATTGGGAGTTGTGGGTTGTTTTACATTCACACATTGAGTAACCCTTTATTATTAATCCAGTAACATCTAAAACTCAAAATGCTAGTTTTCAAGTTAACGGTTACCTTTTACCTGTTGTTTAGTAGAGAATGGAAATTTAAGGACTGAAATTATCCAAATGATAGTGAAGGTGTACAGAGTTTAAAAACACAGTGGAGTGTTTGAGAGAACTCAGCCTAAATATGTAGGGATTGTGTGCTAAACATCTGTGAATGAAACAAAATGCAAATCCAGGTAAGTTTTTGATGAGGAAACATTTTAACATAAATCAGAAAATAGTGTAACATGGATCTTTTAAAATATTAGAGAACATAAGAAGTGGCAGGTGAAATGCTGTTCTGCAATTTCTATTGTGTTTGGGTTTATAAAACAAAATAAGATTTTTTTTTAGGAGATGTACTGTATCTAGAAAGTCCTCTTAACTTTCAGAGTTTTACCAAATTGTTCATCAAATTGTTGAGTTAATTGGACAGTTCATACCTGTTTCTTCAACATTGTAACCGTTGGCTCCTCCTCTCTCGCCGCTACTTGCTCTGTTATCAGCCCAACATGGCTACTCCCCACTCGGGTTTGTCTGAGGAGAGTGGAGAAGGCGGAGAAGACATCTGCGCGCACGTTCTCCTCTCTCTCCTTGAAGCGTGTGAGCAGGGCGGGGCAGAGGGAGGAGTAGAATGACAGGAGCAGGTCTCTCCTCGTGTGGATCAGAGCCTCCAGACACTTGATGGAGGAACGCCGGACTTTCCAGCTCATGTCATCATCGTCACTGTACTCATCATCGGACTCTGGGGGGAAAGATGTGTAAATGGGCAAATTCCTATGATCATATTTTAAAGTGGAACTAAACACTCAAACTACTTTTTTTAAATTTCAAACACTGGCTGCAATGACAGATTTTGAAATGTAGATACCTGTAAAACTAATCACACTGTTCCTTCTGCCCCTTTGCCTAGAATGTTCCACAGTACAACAGATCAACATCAAGAAAGCCATTAAAAATATATACAAATTTAATTCTATAGACAAATACAGAGCACTAGAATGGTTTAAAGACATATTCTTACTACATAGAGAGACAATAAGATAATATCGCAGATTCTGTAGTCTACAGCATCAGATTAGTGTATAGGATAAATGTTGATGGTTTTTTCAAGTGTAGGAAGTAACAGTTTTCTCAGAAGAACTGCTGTACTGAACAGTACTGACGATGACTTAGGGTTAGACATTCATAAGTGATTTAATTTCAGCCTAAACCCCTTTGGTCATAGTTTTATGTGAAATGTTTGTAACAGTCTATTAAGAACCTTATTAAGTACATGACTGAAAAAATAAACTGCTACTACTAGATAGATTATTACAGTACCTATCTCCACAGAGACAAGCAAGTGAAGTGACAACACCAAGCCAAGAAAGAGGTCAGATCTGTGGTGAGGAGATGTTTCTCTCTTTAGGAATGCAAGATTTTCTAGGAAGTAAAACCCCCGGTAATTCAGTGAATGCAAGATGGATGTGTTAAATGTCATACTATGGAACATTCTCCGCAAAGCAAAAACATCTCCTTGGAGACAAGCAGAAAAGTAACATGTCTTTAATCCCTTGCACAACTGGAGTGAATGATCCAATGTACAAACTACAAGGTAGCCTTTTAGTTTTTGATCCTGCAGTTATTGATAGCATTCTGGTGATATTAAGTCCATTAAATCCCTTCCCTGTTGCTTTCATTTAACATGTTTATGAAAATGTGTAAAATATTATCAAAATAATAAAAAAAATAACAAAAAGTGAAAATGTGGTGCTGCTGATTGTAATGTAGTCATCACCTTCACCAAAGCCATCCTCTACATCCATGCTGTCCTCCTCCTCTTCATCGTCATAGTTATAGTTGGGGTCATACGTCATGAACTTAAGACACAGCTGTGTCACCGTGGAGATGTGCGGCGACATTTCTTTAGGACACCTGGGAAAACGAAAACAATTTCTGTAAATATCACTTTTCTCATTGAAAGGGAGTTGTAATAAAAGTAACAAAAGTAACAGGCCTCCTTATGAAAGCTTCAAATGCTTGGAAACAGTACTCTCGGAGCTCGTCATCCTCCACACTGGTCAGCTTCACTACCATCGGGATGAGCTTCTCTAAGTGTTCACCTAAAATACACATAGATCAAATAAACAGGGCTGGATTCAACTTGTATTTTGCCTTTCTAGACCAAGCTTGGTTAATACTAATTCTAGTCTTTCCAACAGAAACTGATTTAAAAAAAAAAAAAAAAAAAATGTTGTTATCTTTATTAAACATATAATTTTAAATCTCTGAAAAAAATATGTCACCACCTTTTGTAACAGCGCTTGTTGAGAATTTAGTTCAATGTTGTGGAACAAAAAGTCCCAAAATGTACAGCATTCATAAATGTGTTTTTGCATAAATACTCCTACAGCAGCTTATTTTACTCTGCACTTTTCATACTTGCTTAGAGTGGGAATTTTGGCATGTGGAAGCCAACAGGTATCAGACAGCACTAAAAATAAACTGTGATTTTGCACATAATTCACAATGGATCCCAGATTTCCACAGTTCTACGGCTTCTAAAGTGGAGGTCGAGAGGCACTGAGCTGTGGGTTTTGAGATTGTTTGACATAAAAACAGTATCTTACCAACTCGATGTCCCCCCTGGCGACTGACTGTAGCGAGACACTGGATGTAGGTTCGGGACATGGAGGTGGGCGGGGCCTTGGCCAGCTCTGTCATCAGGTGTTCTGTCAGCTGAGAGAAGAGGGCGGGGCTACAGCAGGGCACCAGGTGACCCAGAGCCAAGATGGAGCGTTTCCTCACCGCCATTCTGGGGCTAGTTAACTGAGTATGCGAGGGAAAGTGTTGACAATGTTTATTTATTATTATTAATAGACCTCACTTACTAACTATTGACTACACAGTTAAAGACTGTATTGATAAAAAAAATATCCCTCTCTTATTTTTACCTGAGGCAGCAGGCTAGACAGCAAAGATCCATGGAAACTGACCAATGCGCCACTTAACCTGTGGAATACACGTGATAGCTGATTCAAATAAGAAGTCTAAAAGATGTTTATCCTGTTTGGGGTATTTAGTTTTGAAATATAACCTACATAGATCATTATATCACATGTTGTCCATTTTAAACTGCACTGTATACCTGCCCTATCTCTTTATAGTGGCATTTCATTATAGCAAGCAGCAGATTTTCAGTAAAGAGTTGCTTACTTTTGTGCTGACACATAACATATTTAGATCACCATGTTACCTTTTATTATTTTGAAAATGGTATATTCGCCAAAACAACTTTTTTTTTTTTTTTTATAAGCTTCAATTTAGTTTTTGATGCTCTGGGTCCCCCCCATAGACTGTATAATATCCCGCTAATGACATACTGTACTCAACATTGCATCAGATTTATCAAGCTGTTTTGTACAGTTTTGTTTCACGTTTCATATATGTATTTAATTGTCATGTGGGAGCATCTGTGATGAAGACTTATACTGTAGGCAGAGCATTGCATCAAAGGTGTGAATAGGAGTGAGATTGTAAAATTACTCAAATATGCATGGATGACATCTACAGGTTTTTCATGAGGGAATCTAAAAAAACAAAATCAGTATTAATATAATAATATAATAATATTTTCATTACCTTCCCAACATGTCTGAAAGAATGTCCAAAGCCTCCAACTGAACTGACACATCCTCCTGCTTTCCCATGGCCCCAATCAACTGAGAGGTGATTTTCTTGCACACACCAGTGGTCAGATTCACACCTGAAATCGTAAATGTTAAAGGTGCATTGTTTAACTTTTCAAGTGGAGGGTCTGCCAACAGCTTTTCTCCATGCAGGTGGTATTGCGGTCTTGAATGTTTCACAGTGTGGCATAAAAACTTCCTATCTTTATGGAGACCAAATCAGCCCAAGTTACTGGTCAGATCTGTGGAGAGGTGACCCCGCTCACAGTCAGAATGCCTGTTTTTCTAGGTACTTCTGAGATATAAAACCACCTGTAATTGAATAAATAGATCTATTCAATATAGATCTGTTTAATGTCATACTGTGGAACATTCTAAACAGAGTAACATATCCAGGGAAGGTGATGAAGACACAACCGAAAAGTTTCACAGTGCACCTTAAAACCAAGAATATAATTTGAAGATATGAACAAAAAGGTATTTAAAAGTACCAGTTGTGGAAAGGGGGAGTTCTGCGATGACAGTTTTCAGACCCATACTGGAGATGTCTCTGAGCTGCTCTTTGTCAGACATCATGTTTGAACAAAGAGTGTCCACCATCGTCTCCACCTGAGGCTCCTTCACTTTACTCACCAGAGGAGCCAGGCTGGAAGAACACCATAAGATAAAATTTGATCATCTCATGTCTTGTACTTGGTGAAGATTCAAGCAAGTCTAGAGTTTAGTCTACATATGTTATGATAAACAATAATAATGGATTTTGTTTATAGGTGCCACTACTCACCATTTAATTTAAAAAAGATTATCAGAAAAATACCATCAGAAAAATAGCTCAAATACAATATAAAAGTTGGTGAATCTGCACTGGTTTGATCTTGGTTTTCCAATATTAGTAAGGTAATTAACTGGATTTAGTTAAATATATTTGAGAAAGTGAAAGAAATTATCTGTGCAAAATATGTAAATTGAATTTGTTGAGTAATAATGAATATGAATACAGTAAGTAAAATATGAAAATATTTGAGAACCAATTACAGGGTTTCAGTTACGAGTTTACAAGCGTCGTTAGGAGCACTTTTCAACGTCTGTTATAATTTTTCATCATCAATAGAAAAAGCAGGCAAAGAGGAATCAGACAATCTTTATAGACTCTAATTCTAACTCTAATCTTTAATTAATCAAGTGCTAGACAATATTTACCATTTGACAGCCAGGTTCTGCACCTCTCCATTCTTGTCTTCAAGCAGCCTCAGCAGCATACTGACCACCTTCCTCTCGCTGTCCTCATCCAGTTTGATGCTGTCCTTCTGCAGTTCCAGCATCAAGTCATTGGTGGCCATAAACCTGTATTAACCCAGGATTAAAAAAAAATTTAAAACATGTGGGACAATAGCCTATAATTATAGAAAATATGGTTAGTATAATCTGGAAACATCATAATCACTACTGTTATGAAATTGTTATGAAATCTTGTTTAGTATTTGAAATTTTTTTTTAAAATGTTTCCTTGAAGAGGAGAGTACAGTTTTAGTTTTAAAGGCCATTGTATTATCAAGTTGCTTTGCTCCAGGTTTTGTGAGGCAAAATATGCACCAATTTCATAAAAAAAATAAAAAATAAATAAAAAATAATTGTTAAAGTCATGCGTCCTTACTCTGTTTGAGCTTGCACCTCCACAAACCTGACTACTCTTTGGGCAGGAGGAGGGCCTTCTCTTGCTTTATTCCATGGGAATGTTGGCTGTAATATTCCACAGTATGGCTTAAAACTTATCTGTCTCCAATGGAAAAAGAGTTTTAAAGATTGTTTGTCAAACTATCATCACTTTAGTTTAACTTAATCCTGGACAGATAAATTGATAGGCTATAGAATGATATTATAGTAGGTCATTCATTCCTAACCCGGTTGTAGTGTTTGTAGAACTGGATATTTTGGGACACAAAACAAAATAGTTGCGGGGTTAACATGTGGTATTAATAAGTCAAATGCATTTTAGAACTTTACCCACCACCACTCCCACTAGATGTGTCCTCTGCAGTGTTGGTAGCCAAGTGTAGCCCACCAAAAACTGTCATCTCATGTCAGCATACGTACAGTTTGTGTTGGGTCAGACTAAGTTCACTTCTAAATTCTTACCTAAAATCTTTATCAGTGGAGGTCATTTTCTCCAGTAAGTTGGAGATGTGGTAGGAGACATTCGACATCTTGTTGTTTTGGCAGCTGTCACCACCGCTGAAAGAAAATAAAACAAGATTTAACCTAAAAACATGGCGAGGTACAACAGCCCAGCCTAAGGGGGAACTTGACACTATGGTGGGCTATGATAAAAATAGACGTGAAAAACCCCTGTATAATGTCGCCATCCCGTGGACAAAACTAATTTAACACTAACAGCAAGTAAGGAAGCTTTATAGTGAATTATTTCCAGTGTGTTTGATTTATTTTTGACATTTGACATTCGCTAAAAACATAACATTCACATGACACTGGATTATCAAGGAGCTAGCAAACTTTATCTGACAACTTTCATTACGCTATTTAATGGCAATAAAAATAAAACTGGATTTCTATTGATTTTTACAATAATTAAACGTTGTTAACATTACAATAGAGCAAAAATATTCAGTACTAAAATTAAAATACATACAATAATATTCTACGCGGTTTCTTCATTTTGCGGAACATTTCACCCTAAAATCTTGCGTTTGTTTCCACTCGGAAGGAAGTCAAGGACGGACGCATTGGGTAGCGGCTTTTCTTGATGCCACGTCGGAATTTGCGAAGATCCCAGTTATTCATTCAATAAAATAGATCGATTTATACTAATTGGGTTTTTTAACATCAATAGCTATGGTGGGTAATTTTATAATATATTTAAGCTTCTATATTACGTTGTAGACTTGACTTTCATGGCTGTTTGTGGCCTGATGCTGACGTTGGCAGTACAAGTTGTTAGCATTAGCACCCAAGCTACAGTGTACAACGAGAATATTACAGCTTTTGTTTTATTCTTATTTTATTTATCATACATCCTATTTATGTGTGCGCTTATTTGTGCTTTCAGGTTTCCGTCATTAACACAGTGGACACGTCCCACGAGGATATGATCGTAAGTTGGAATGTTTTGATGGCCACCATAGCAAACTTTAGCACACATACTGTAGCTGCGACTTCTGATATTTTGAGCAAAATTAGGGTGACCAGATGTCTCTATTCACCCGGGACAGTCCCAGTTTTGAGCCCTGTGTTCTCTGTCCCAGCAGATTTATCCAAAACCAGTGATTTGTCCCAGTTTTAAACAAGAAATGTCCCAAGTGTCACTATTTTTGACCAATTTGATCCCTGCCAATAGTAAAGAGAGGCATCAGTTGTCATTTGTTTAGGTAAAATACATAAAAGCTGCTTAAAAATAACCAAAGCGCAAAGAAAATGTGACTACACTGACTCACATTAGTGCCAACAACAATTTTCCTTAATTACACACTCGATTCACAATTTTATTATTACCAACCAACCAAACCAAGGATGTCCTAGTTTTTATTCTGAAAATGTGGTCACCCTAATCTAAATGAATGACAATTAATAATTATCAGTTGCATTCACTAATGTGCTTTTTTCAACCTATAAACAACAATAACTGTGTTTGTTTAATTTTACATCAAACTCTCAAATTTCACTTGTTGAAAAGGCTCCACTTTCAGTATACAGATTTGTATGATGTATTAACAAATACAGGCAATAATGACTGAATTACTCAACTTCCTGTTTGCAATAATGAATGTGTTTGTTTCAGCATGATGCCCAGATGGATTATTACGGGACACGGCTGGCCACTTGCTCCTCTGACCGAACTGTAAAGATTTTTGACGTTAGAAACGGAGGACAGATCTTGGTAGCTGACCTTAGAGGGTAAATAGCCCAAATAGTTTTTTTTTATATATCTTAATGTATTAGTATTTGCTTGTTTTCATAGATTTGTTTGTTTCTTGCAGCCATGAGGGTCCTGTGTGGCAGATTGCGTGGGCTCATCCAATGTTTGGCAACATCTTAGCTTCTTGCTCCTACGACCGAAAAGTTATCATTTGGAAAGAAGAGAATGGCACGTGGGACAAGATGTATGAGTACACAGGACATGAGTCGTCAGGTTGGTGGCTTTGTTTGTTTGTTTATTTCAGAGCATCAGAATATTTTAAATTATCACTACATCCAACCTGAAAACCTTTTAATAACTTAATAACATTTATGATTGTTTTGTCTCTGCAGTAAACTCAGTCTGCTGGGGTCCCTATGAATTTGGTCTTATCTTGGCCTGTGGCAGTTCTGATGGAGCCATTTCTCTTCTCACATTTACTGGTGATCAGCAGTGGGACATAAAGAAGATCCCCAATGCACACACAGTAAGATTTACACACAGAATGCTCATGAATGTATTATAGTGCTTGTTTAATTATAATTAAAATAAATAAATAAATCATAATATAATTAAATCCTGAAAATGTGAAAATTAAGTTAAATAGACTTTTCCTAGTGTTTAATGCTATTGTGGTGTTCCATCCTGTATTGTCATGCATTCAAGGCTTGAGTGTTTAGAAAATGTCTCTTTTTTTACCTGCCCCTTTCTCTGCCCACTCTGAATTTATGTGCAAGTACCGTATTTTCCGGGCTATTAGACATGCTCTTAAGCCTCCAACCCCATCAAAAAATCGACTGCACGCCCCACAATCCAGAGCTCCCTATACAGGAATCCACTCGGGTGTCCCAGCACGACTTCACTAAACTACAAAGCCGCAGCACATGCAAACATGCACGGAGCAGACAGCGACCGCGCAGCGAAAAACACCCACAGCCACACATCACTCCACGCTGACGAGGAACTGAACGGAAGAACAAACCGAAAAAGCGAGTGCAATGTGCCACTTCTAGCCACAACTGAACAACTGAGTCACTGCGAACACGCCAACAATCCAGTGGTCCCAGACAGCACCCTCCCTACACGCTACAACTGAACAAAGCCAAGAATCACCATGAACGCACCAAACCAGGGGTGCTCACACTTTTTCAGCATGCGAGCTACTTAAAAATGACCAAGTCATAAAGATCTACCTAATACAAAGCCAAGCAAACTGCACTGAAACACTCTGTGCTCCTTTTTTGGACCCTCATCCACAGTTTGAGAACCCCTTCTTTAAGAGAACTTCCTCTGGCACTTTACACAAAACTGTGAAAAAAGTGAAGGAAGATTTTTAAACCTGTTTTTTAAAGTTCCAAACTGGAGTTGCATTCTTTTCTGGTTTTGCAGTGATATTTACCAGCCTCTGCACATTTACCAAACCAAACGCACATCGTGACAAACACAGATGCATTTGTGCACTTTTGTTAGGAAAACTTCAGCCAAATGTGGCAGTAGGTCTGCTCTATGCTGTAGGCCTGCTTTGTGCCAACACTGTAACACAAATTTAGACTCGTTTTTGCTTCACGTTTCGTCTTGCTCTTCTAATCAGCGCGCACTGTGGAAGGGGCTTGTGTTCGCTGCACGCAGGAAGGAGCGAGAGCGTGAAAAGGCAAGGGGCGGCGTGCTGACGTGAGGCAGATGGACAGGTAGGATGTTTAGGAAGTTTAACCTGCCCGGTGATGCACGCTGGTACACGAGGGCACACGCTGTTGCAGACGAGCTGTGATAGGAAGCGTATGTATTTGTGATGTGCCGTAGAGTCTCCGCGGGGGCGCACAGGCTGCATTGAGACGCCCCACACGCTCCTGCACCCCGGTACAAGTACAATATGATCACAGTTGTTGAGTGTCAGAGCTTAAGTGAGAGACAAGACCAAGTCCAAACGCGATCAAGTCCGAGACGAGACACGGCGATCTACCAGTCGATCGCGATCGACGTATTGAGCACCCCTGCACCAAACAAAGTCCGACTGAGCCATCTAACTGTTGTTTCGTAATCCAGAGCGCCCAATAGTGCGGAAAATACGGGACTTAAAATATTAGGACATACAAGTTATAGTGTAAATACCCCTAAAAACGTAATATAAAATAAACCAATTATGAAGTTGCTGATTTATAGCAATTCAGTTAAATTTTTCATTTGTTTTCTCAGTTTTTCCTCTTTTTGTTTTTTCTTAAAGATCGGTTGTAATGCAGTGAGTTGGGCCCCTGCTGTTGTCCCTGGCAGCCTGATTGACCAACCCACAGGACAGAAGCCAAACTACGTCAAACGCTTTGTCTCCGGTGGCTGTGACAATCTCGTCAAACTCTGGAAGTAAGTGCTAATTTTTTGGCTCATTTTAAATTCAAGATGTATACGTCAATTGAATGCATATTGTATTTATTTACGTGGTACCACTTTTAGGGAGGAGGACGGTCAGTGGAAGGAGGATCAGAAGCTTGAAGCGCACAGTGACTGGGTCAGAGATGTTGGCTGGGCTCCTTCTATTGGTCTGCCAACTAGCACCATCGCCAGCTGCTCCCAGGTATGATCCAGTTAGGAAAATATGTCAGTTTATTTTATCCTTTTTTGGGTATCTATACAATGATATAATAGATGTATCTTTTTTAATATCATGTTTTGGAATAAGGCTTTTGTTATTTATTTGAGATTGGATTGTATTTTGCTCCACCAGATGGAGCCAAAACATTTTGATTCAGTTCACTCTACTAGTACTACTGTGCTACTAGTAATCTACTACCACCAATACTTCAGCAATTTTACTTGTACCACAGACTATTCCTTGTGCTACCTTACTTTTTCACCAAACTTACTTAAATAAAATGACGTCTTTTTAAGATTTTACTATCTATTTACTATCTATTACCATAACTGTAACCCATACTGCTATACAGTTGCTTGTTGCAATTTAAATAAAATTTTAAAATACAATGACAAAATACTTGCATCAGTTTATAATGCATTTGAATTCCATTTGACAACCTCAGTCTTGCATTGACAGCTTACTAACAAAAAATAGGTTCATTGCTAACCCTTTGTAATTGTTTGAACTTTTTCTTCCCTCCAGGATGGGCGTGTGTTCATCTGGACATGTGATGACCCAGCAGGAAACACGTGGTCGGCCAAACTGCTTCACAAGTTCAACGATGTGGTGTGGCACGTGAGCTGGTCCATCACTGGCAACATCCTGGCTGTGTCTGGAGGAGATAATAAGGTAATGCAGTAATGGGAATGTTATCATGTTATTACTTATGATTCTATTTTATTTTTACTTGTACATTTAAGTTTATATAATTATGTCTTATTTGACACTTTTGCTCACTCTTGCTATCTTTGTTTGCTAATTTATTTAGATTTTACCATTTATATTTTTGCTCTTTGTTATTATATTTATTGTGATGTGTGAGCTACTATGTCCAAATAATTTCCCATGTGGATCAATAAAGTTTGTCTAAGTTTAGTTACACCCAAAAAAAAAAGTCCTTACATTTTCAACTTAAAACTAAGGCTACTGGCAACTGAATAACTTGATTACTTTATATTTGTGTCACTGACTCTGTAGCTAGCGGCAAAATCCCTGTTTGAAAACAACAGCACATAAGCTTTGAATTATCCTGAGATTTTAACATTTTGGTGCTAATTTTGTCTTTGTTTTGTGCAGGTGACGTTGTGGAAGGAGTCCATGGATGGTCAGTGGGCCTGTATCAGCGACGTCAGCAAAGGCCAGGGAGCAGTGTCCACCATCACAGACACGCAGCAAAACGAACAGTGACACTAGATGACATTAGGAGCGACAATTTAAGTTGATCTGAATCGAACTCTGGGACTCCCATTATGAAACGAGAAAGAGAAGGCTGATTTATCTGAAGACAAATATTACTGGAAAATGGTTTTAGCAGATGCACTCCATAAACATGCACATGGCAATAAATACGATAATGTGGAATCTTTCAGGAGCTTAACATTGTTTTTATAATTTACGGATTTTTCCTGATGTTTATGCTTAATCATAAAGGAAAAAGCCATTGTCTAGTTATGTTGTTGCAGTTAAAGGTGCATTATGTAACTTTTCTGGTCCACCATCAGCTTGTTTCCACAGAGATGATATACAGTACCTTTGCCTGGAATATTCCACTGTATCCATCTTGCATTTGCTCAATTACGGGTGTTTTTATTGCGGCCTTGAAGTGGGGTTGTCGCTCCACAGATGTGACTTATAACTTGGGCTGCTGGCATACATGCTCGTCCCCATGGTGATAAGTTTAATGCTATACAGTGGAACATTCCAGGCAAAGCAATAAGACGCAGGTGGCTTGACTTCTACCAGAAAACTAACTTGCAATTAAGTTGTTAAAATTTAAGCTTGAAATCGTTAGAAGAAGACTTAAAATGGTTCACTAAATCTTGAAATAAACACAAATGTAGTAAACATATTTCTGCGATTTTATATTATTTTTTCCACAATATTCGGTTAAGCTGAAATGTGCTTGTATCTGTATAATTTTGCCATCTCCACCTCATCCATAATTCTTTACTTACCAAACATTCCTCCCCTTGAGACAAATGTTATTTATCACTTGCAGATTTTAGTCCATGGTGTCTGTTCAATCCAAAATGCCGCTAAAATAGGAACAAGAAGATGATGATGTAACTCAATATTTTGTCAGCTTTGAATGTGCAAACGTGGTCTTGATGGAATTGCTAAAAAAAAAAAAAAAGGTGCAGAGTGAGGAAGTGGTGGAAGAATCATTTGAATCCTGTGTTTTCAAATGTAAAGGCAAACCTGGGATGTTTTTCATATATGTTTGTAATTAAATAAATACGTAATGACATACAAATTAGTGTGTCTTAAAGCATCACTTGTTAAACTTAGAAATATGACTGAAAATCTTAAGGTACAATTATTTTATCTCACAGTATTAAGTCTAATGTTATATAGAAAGACAAAAAAAAGACCAAAGTGTATATATGCTTTATGTCTTTTAACATTTTGGTGCAGTCATTTAAAATCTATTATTATCTTTGTACACCGCCAAAGCTCAAAATGCTCCGTTCCACCTTGTGATGTCATGTAGTGGTGGTTTTCAAATTAATAACAACCCTTTACCTTTTTGTTCAAAAGAAATTGGCAAATGAGCAAATTATCCAAATGATCATAGTGAAGATGTATGGAGTTTATAAACACAGTGGAGCACTTCTTGTATTATCACATGACATCACAAGGTGGGACAGAGTGTTTTCAGTCTGAGAGAAGAACTGCAGAATTTGTGAGTTGAACATGTGTGAATGAAACAAAACACAACTCCGATGAGGAAACAATGAGATTTAAAAAAATAGCATAATATAGGCGCTTTAACTTTAAAGTCTAAAGCTGCGAATGTTCCACAATATGGCATTAAACATATCTTTCTCCATGGAAAATAAGGCCAAATTACAGGTCAGATCTGTAGAGAGGCAAGTCTGGTCTCAGTAAGAATGCATATATTTTAAGGCACTCTTGGCAATTAAAAAAAATAAAAAATAACTGGAACATTTCAGGCAAAGCAATAACATCTCCATGGAGAAACTCTGCCAGAAATGTTACATAGAGCACCGTTTAAAAGACAAAACATTATCAAAGCTCATTATTTAAAGCACAGTTTTATCATTTGTACTGTAAGACACCTTTAACCACAAATTTGCTACTTCACAAAGTTCAGCATTTGTTCAAGGGGCGGCTAAGCTGTATGTAACATATGCTGTGTGTGTGTGTGTGTGTGTGTGTGTGTGTGTGTGTGTTTCAGGAAGCATATACGTAGTTTTAAAGGCAGTGATGTGCAGCAGACACACTTCCTCTTTGTGGTCTTCATATATGCTGGCTTGAACTTTTCTGCTCATTCTTGGTTTTGGCTTCGAGTTGTGAAACAGCTTTTGGTGAGTAACCGTGGGAATATTTTGATTATCCATTCTCCTTTACAATTATTGATGCTTTGTTTAGCTAAATGTGCATATGTAAACTTTTTATAATACTGGACATGTATAGTTGTTTTGTTACGCTTCACTGTTTGTTGAATATTTACATCCAGCGGTGAAAGAAGTACTCAATTTGTAAGGTACAAACACAGGAGAAAAATACAGTAAAGTAAAAGTGTCACATGGAAAATCAAAAGTATTAAAGTACTTGTTTAAAAATGTACTTAAAGAAGAAAAGTATAATAGGAAAAATATAAAATTGTTTTGTGCAGATTTTAATTTCTAATAAAGCTTCAAATGTAATGATTTTGATGAAGATTTAGGCTGAATTTTGAATTTTCAGTGGAAACAATTTAGGTTTTTCCTAGCCTTTAAATTTTTGTATTGCTCAAATTATCAGTGTTAAAAATAATTGATTAGCCTTTTTAGCAGATCTCACACAATAAAAAAAAAATAAATAAAAAATCTTTTCAGTCCAGTCCAAATGTAGTGGAGTAGAATGTACAGATGCTACTCTCAAATGTAGTGAAGTAAAAGCAAAAACGTATTCACTATAAAATGTACTAAAGTACAGACACCTAAAACTACAGTACTTAACTACTTTTACTTCGTTACGTTCCACCACTGTTTATAACTTGGGTGATGCAGAAAAGTGTATTAGTTTTAAATATTAATTATAACAAAAAATACCAGTTGTTTTTGCTATTAGAAGTAACATTTGCTAACAGACAAACATTAATTTGTGTAGAATGTATTGGTTATTCTTGTCTTTTAGAAGAGGAACTGTGTGTAAAGACAATGCCAATGCACAGTGAAGGGATGTGGGACGAAACATAATGCAAGAAATGCACTGTTTAAAACTATTTTACTTTTACAAATTTGAGTCATTTTGTTTTCAGATAAGTTTGATCAAAATGAAGATTGCAGCCTTCAATGCCAAAAACCTGGGGATCAAGAAAGTCACAAACAATGCAGTGGTCAAGTATCTAACCCAGGTACTGTTTGAGTTTTTGTTTTTTCGTTTTTTGTCCAGTATTTACTTACTAGCTCCTATAGTGCACAAAATTGACTCTTGTGAACTTTAAGCCGTGTTTGCATAGAGTTACCTCCTCAAAAACATACCTGGAGTTGCGTTTTGTTTCATTCACACTAGGGATGTAACGATAACCAAATCTCTCAGTATTAAATTATCACAAAATGCATCTCAAGGTACGATATTTTATAAGAGGCTGATATAATTGTAGATAGGACACTTTTTTGCTTTTAAAATATTTTGACAAGATTTTGGTGTGAATTATTTCCATCATAATCTCAAGAATTCAAGTAAAAAACATATTTCTTCCAGTGGTCTGCACTGAAATGAATCATGGGATATGTAGTTTGTATGTTTATAAGCTGTTGCTACTGTTAAACCATTCCTTTAAGCTAAGGAACTTGTAAATTGATATATTGTGACAGCCCACAATATTATTGTGAGACTTTTGACGATACAGTATCACAATATCACGTTATCATTACATCCCTAATTCACACATGCTTAATTAATCCTGGTTTATTAGTCAGTCTACATGGCCAATGCTGAAAAATGCTCTGGTCCACCTTGTGATGTCGTGTAGTGGTAGCTTTCAAGTTAACTTTTACCTTTATTTCAGTAGACATTGGCAATTTGAGTGCTGAAATTATCCAAATGATTCTAGTGAACGTGTATAGAGTTTAAAAACACAGTGGAGCACTTTCTGTATTACCACATGTCATCACAAGGTAGAGCAGTGTTTTCTGTTTGAGAGAAGAACTCAGTATAAACCTGTGTGTGTTAAACATGTGTGAATGAACCAAAACATCTCCAGGTACAGTATGTTTGTGATGAGGAAACAGCATTATAACAGATCAGAAAATAGCATAATATGGACCCTTTACTTTGTCTTGCAGATCTTAAGTCGGTACAGTGTGGTGGTGGTCCTGGAGGTGATGGATAAGAGTGGAAAGGCCATGCAGATTTTACTGGAGAAGTTAAACAGCCTGAGGTGAGTGGACCACATCTCCTCGGCTACTTCTAAAGGATACGACAATTGAACTCTGTGGATCTCTTGTTATCTGGTGTAATTATGGTCACTTATTTGCTAAGGTTATTTCCATAATCATAAAGTACTTATCTACCAGTATTTACCTCAGTTAATCATTACAGTGCTATTTTTACACCTAGATCATTAATATAAGATGCAAAACTTTCTTTTAATTCCAGTATTTTTATTGTAAGTGTATTGTAGTCTGACTGGATGTGAGTTGTGTAATCCCTCATTTGTCCTGGAATGGGCCAAGATAGAAAAGGAGAAAAGGTCCTACATTATGCAAAATTGACTCTTATAATTGACTCTGATCTTATAATCTTGTTTTTTCCTCAAAAACATACCTGGAATTACCAGTTTTTTTGTTTGATTATTGTTTGACTGGTCTAATGTCTCACTTTTCTACATCTTAAGCAGACTGTTTCTAACCAAAACAAAAGGTGGATTGTACTTTAAAGAGTCCATATTAAACTATATCTATATTTGTTCATCTATGTTAAAATGTTGTTTCCTCATCTCAAACATATCTGGAGTTGTGTTTTGTTTCATGCACACATATTTAACACACAAATCCAACATATTTTGTGTCAGTTCTTCTCTCAAAAAGAAAAAAAAAAAAAAAATCAGCCCTGGAATTGCCAATCTCTGCTAAACAAAAGGTTAAAAAAAATACTGAAAACTACCAATAAATGACATCACAAGGTGGAACAGAGCATTTTGAGCTTTGAAGTTGTAGACAGACTAATAATGCCGAACTACTCAAACGTGTGAATGAAACAAAATGCAACTCTCTTTTTGAGGAGGTATAACAAGATTCTAACATGGCTTAAACCTCACAAGAGTCAATGTTGTGTAATATAGAACCTTTAAAGAAAAAAATACATTGAAATAGAAGAACTAATGTAGCTCTTGTATAAATTCTAGTTTGTCAGTCCAGATTTAAAGGTGCCTGTGTAACTTTTTGGTTGGAGGTTCGTCACCTGTTCATAACTGGTGGCTTTATAGAAAAATACCTAAAGACAGGCACAGAAACAGTATGACCTGTAACTTGGTCTTGTTTGGTCTCCATGAAGATAGAAAGGTTCAATACCGTACTGTAAAACATTCCAGAAAAGTTACACAATAGATTGCAGTCGAAACATCTAGATTTTGAAAAACAGAGTCCAGATAACTTTGAAACCTTTAATGACTGGACATGTTGGTGATTGTGTATATTGTTTTTATAGCTCTAACAAAAAGAGTCCATATTTGATGGTGTCCAGTTGCCCTTTGGGACGAGACAGCTACAAGGAACAGTTTGTCTGCTTCTACAGGTAACGGATCATTACTACAATAGAAATGTCAACTCAAATTGATGGAGATTTACTACAGGATGCCAAATAAACATTTGGGCATCAGACTTTTTTTGATTGGAGGAGCTATGAAGGTGCTCAATTAACACTTTAATTTAGAGAGAATTTATGGATGTGAGTGCACCCTCGCTCCCTACCATGTTTGCTTTGCTATTTTAAACAAGTTTAACTGTAGTTAGCCCCGTAGCGATCTATAACACCTAATGTGGAAATACTCTAGTCTAATTTTGAACACTGTCCTATAGAGATGTAACTATATTTAAATCTTTCTATACGGCATTTTCACGATATACATCCCACGGTATGATATTTATTACAATATTTTGTACACGCTAACACAATTGTGAAAATGCAATACTTTTTTTCTGTCATAAACCACAGACTTGAGACTTAAGCATGCTTAAAATTATGATTCTTATTATTATTTTTATTACTTTTCATGTAGTCTGCACTGTAATTGAGCAAAGGATCATGGTATACGTAGTTCACTCAGTTTGTTTTAGCTATTGCTGCATCAAAACAATGAATTTAAGTAAAGAGGCATGTAATTTGTTACACTGTGATGGCCCATGATATTATTGTGAGACTTTGGCCATTCTAGGAGATTCTAGTGCCCCCTCAAGCCCCCCCGGCACCGCTCCTGTGGCAATACAAATGAAACAAGATTGTATTCATGAAATTGCTTTCTGTGTGTCTCAGAAAGGACAAGGTGTCTCTGAAGGCCTGTTACCAGTACGAGGACAACCAGGTTGGAGATAAAGATGCTTTTGCCCGAGAACCATTTATCCTACGCTTCAACTGCCCATCAACAGGTCTGTGGACTTACAGTATAGTTGGCATTTCTCTTTGTACAACTGATATTTTATTTATGATTTACTAATATGGAGAAGGTTTCAACACTGCTCACCTGGACACTGCACAAAAATAATGTCCAGATGAACAGCGTTGAAACCTTCTCTGCACTGGATCACTCGCAGATAAATGAGGGATTACAGCGTCTCACTAGTTCCTAATGTTTCTTATTTTTATTTTTTTATTTGGAACAGTTGTGAAAGACCTAGTTCTGGTCCCAGTGCACACAAAACCAGAGGATTCCCTGAAGGAGCTGGATGAGCTGCACGATGTGGTTCAAGTCATTAAAGACACCTGGGGAAGCAATGTAAGTAATACAAAATAAAAAGAAATGTTAAATTAAAATGTGAATGTAATTAGTGTTTCAAATGTTACTTAAGTGTTTTTTCTGACAATCATCATTCTCTCAATTATCAACAAACGTTTTAGCAAATATATACACAGACATACATACAAGTGGTGAAACTCCTTGTGTCCATGGAGACGTTGCTTTGTGGAAATCATGTCCCCCAGTATGGCATTAAACATGCCCAATTACAGATGTATTATTTCTTTAAAATACCTTGAAAAACATGAATTCTTATTGTGTCTCCATCTGTGTTATCCATTTGCATCACATTACTGAGCTGTGTATTTGCCTTTTTTTTTTTTAGTTTTTTTTAGTTTTGATTTTGTTTGTTTGATTTACTGTATGCTAAAATTACTACACAATTCTGGATATGGGATATGCAAATGTCTCAGTATGATATTTTCATGATATGTACCTGATATGTACAGTATTTATTGCAATATTTTGTGGACAACAAACAAACAAAACAGTGAATATGCCACTTTTTTCCTTTTAAAATGCCGTGACAAGACTGGTTTGTTATAATCCAAATAATTAAGATTTAAAAGTACTTAATTCTTTGGACAGTTATTTCTTCATGTAATCTGCACTGAAATTGAGCAAAGGATCATGGTCTATGTAGTTCCCTGTTTTCTTAGCTATATTGCTGCACTATAACTATTAATTTAAGCAAAGACAGTTGTAATTCGATATATTGTTCTGGGCCACGATATTATTTGTGAGACTTTTGAAGATATGATATCACAATATTTCAGTTATACACAACACAGCACTGCCAAACCCTACAGGTGTATTACCTAATAAGAAAATAAAGCTTGGAAAATTAAGAAAGTACAGAGCAGTGGACATTTACTGGTGTGAGGGGGATTTGGCGTCTTGAAAATACATGATTAACGATGCTCAAAAGTGCAGCAAATCACTCCAAACACAACTTCGAGAGGGCTAAATGAGAAGAGGAAAAGCTCTTCAAAAACTCTAAAAAGTAAATTTTGCATTATAGGTTTGCCTTAATTTTTTTGTTCCAGAATATAATGATTTTAGGAGACTTTAACGCAGACGGACGGTATCTCTCCAAAAGGAAACTTGAAACCATCAGGATCCGCTCGGAGGCGTACCACTGGCTGATCCACGATGACGTCGACACCACCAGCAGTAACCGTAACGACAACACTTACGACAGGTGATTTACAAATACAATTTAAAGGTACACTGTGTAATTTCTCTGGTGGAAGGTCTGCTATAGCTTGCTTGTTTCCATGGAGATATTACTGTTTTGCCTTGATCAGCCCATGGTATAAAAAAAAACTTGGTAATCACAATAGAAACAGGTTAATGATCAGATCTATGGAGAGTAAAATTATGCTTTTGAGGTATTTTTGAGCCATAAAACACCTGCAATTGAACAAAGGTAAGGCATATATGTTAAAGCCTTACTGAGGAACATTAATCCACATGGACACAATCAATTTAGAAGTTAGACAGTGCACCATTAAGATGGATACATATGTTATGAACGTGTTATGTGTGATTCCCATGCAGGATTGTGGTGTATGGAGAGAAGATGCTCCATGCTGTTGTACCAGGTTCAGCCCAGACTTTTAACTTCCAAAAGGAGTTCAAACTAGACGATGACACAGTAAGTCAACTATTTACCTATTTACTTTTACTTTTTTATGTCAAATATAGTAGACAAAATTTTAATTAGTTATACAAACTAAAAGCCCTTAAATAAAACTTATGCTTTTTTATGGTATTTAGTATTCAAGTGTATTAATATTTGCACAAAGACCACATCCAAGCTAGGACTAAAGCCAGAACAAAATTTGGACTTGACCAGGACTAAACCAAAACTAAAACAGTCCAAACCAGGCTACGTCAGAACCAAACTGGGCTCAAACCAAGACCAAATCATGACAAGTGAAAGCATCCTTGAACTATATTCATTATTTTTTTATTTCATTAGTATTAAAAGTATTGATTTATAAGTTAACTATAACTTAATAGAATAAATAAGTTCATTGACTTCCTGCTCAGGACTGTCAAAGTGACCTCAGCCTCTTAATCAATGTACTGATAAATGTTGAAAAATGATCCTGTATCAATAAGCACAAGTACAGAGAAGTAGGTGGGCATAGTTGCTAGGTGAAAACAGATTTGTTGTTGCACTCAAACTTCAAATGCTGTGACCATTTTATGTTTCACTGCTTATGATTATTAATTACTAACCAAATGAGCAATAACACTGTAACTACCAGAGGTGGGACCAAGTCCATGTCAAGTCCCACGTCTTAGTCCATTTTATCAAAACAAGTCTCAAGTCCTAAAAATAGTGACTCAAGTCTGACTGAAGTCCAAGTCACGACTTGCAAGTCCTCAACTCTGGTAACTACTATTGTGTATTACATACTACATGTTTGTGAAGAATCCCTCAGTTGTCCAAGTAGAATCCATGAGGAGAAAATTCAGTTTGTCGACTGGACAAAAGTTAGTAAGGTTGAAGACGTTTTACAGCTGCGAAAGCGTCTTAGCGAAAGCGTCTTAGCTGCGAAACGTCTTCAATCTAACTAACTTTTGTCCAGTCGACAAACTGAATTTTCTCCTCATACTGTATGTTTGTTCATTCAGGCTCTGAGCATCAGTGACCATTATCCTGTGGAGGTCACTCTCAAAACTGGTCCAAAAAAACTCCCTGTGTCTGTGAAGAGGAGAACCCCAAAAACACGTGACCATCAAGGTGAGAATCTTCTGCATGTTGATAATTCTCTTATTTTAAACATGGGATGTGTTAATACTTTAAAAGGTCCATATTAAGCTATTTTCTGCTCTATGTTATAATCTTGTTTCCTCATCACAAATGTACGTGGAGTTGTGTTTTGTTTCATTCATACATGTTTAACAAACTCTGCATTTTTAGACTTGACTCGAGTTCTTCTCTCAAACAGAAAACACTCTGTTCCACCTTCTGATGTCATGTAGTAATACAGACTTCATACACCTTATGCAACAACTTATACTTACTTATACTAGTAGTGTATTGTGGAGTAAATAAGTTCAACTGAGGATAAAAAATAGCTGCTAACTTTAAAACTACCACTTGATGACATCACAAGGTGCAACAGAGCATTTTGAGTTTTAGAAATATAGACAAACTAATAATGCAAAGTTATAAAAAAAAATGTCTGAATGAAACAAAACACAACTCCAGGTATGTTTTTCAGTAAGTAACATGATTAAAATCTCACATTAGTCAATTTTAGGTAATATATGACCTTTAAACTTTCATAGGTGTCAGAAAGAAGAGATCTGCTCCAAAAAAGCCGAGAGGACAGTCCGCTGAAGGGTCCAACTCTCCAGTCAAGAGAAGACGCGTCCAGAGGAGATAGACTAGACCGTGCTTAGATATAAATACTTCATATTCCTTTAATATTAAATGTGATAATTTAAACATAATTACACTTTTAATTTATTTATATTTTTTATATTTTATTTATTCCTGCATGTTTGCATTTGAGGCTTGAGTGCCTTGAAAATGTTAGTTTTCACCTACCCCCTGTGTGCTATTTAAACAATTCCAACTCTTAAATGTAGGGTACACAATGCGGATTACAATGAATAAAAGGCAAAAGAATGTTCGAAACCTGGAAATTATAGCTGTTATAGGTAAGTTACACTTTACTTGCGTTTGACTGATCCTTCAATGCCACTGGAGCAACTTGTGAGGAGCAGTGGGACTGATCTCTAGATCTTGTTTCTAGCCTTGGACAGGATCTTAGCTGGTTGATTGTATTATCGATTGTATTATCTCTAGTTGACAGGGAAAAACTGGAGTGTCCAGAGGAAATAGGATGTTGAAAATTTGGCTGGATTGGATATCAGCTTCAGACTATTCACTGACCGTAATTTGTCCAGAAAGTTAGAATTTTAATTTATACAAAGCTCTTTTATACATACCTCAGAAATAAATATCAGCTACGTTTGGATCCGTTTTGTTTCTTTTTTTTTTTTTTTAAAGGAAATAAATGCCGATTCCAGTCTCTGTCCTGGTATCAGTCGATATCAGGTATCAATGGATATTTATAGCTTTAGTATCGGAATCGGTATTGGAACTCAAAAAGCTGGATCACTGCATCGGTCGGTGTACCATTCTTTCTTTTGAATTTCAATTAAGATCCAAAAACAATAAATTGGGAAAACAGTTTATTTCATTATTCCATTTTAGTGTCAAAACAAAAAAAAAAGAAAAAGAAAAATATTTTGAACAATCAAAAAACATCATCATGCCTATTACAACTTTGAGAGAGAGAATAAAATTTAAAAATGAAATAGGCACCGAGACTGTTTTTTTCATTGGTGTTATTTGAAATAAACTTAAATATTGAAAGTAGAGGTTTGTTTTGTTTTGTTTTACACTAAAGCGGAATAATGAAATAACAAACTGTTTTCCCATTTTATTGTTTTTCTTTCTTAATTGAAATTCAAAAGAACGATTGGTACATGGACCTGCTTCCCCAAAAATATGGCCCAGTTAACAAATTTCCTTCCTGCGTGTTATTTATTTGTACAGAGTTCATTGCTTTTTTCTAAATGAAACCTTTGTTACACTTCCACTCTTGTTTCTGTAGTAATTTCCTCGCAGATTTTAGTACCTGTACTGTGAACACCCATCTATCACAAAACACAAAAGCTCCATGATGACCCGTTCATTTGACACCGTGTTTCATTTGACCTGACTCCACCCACACCGTCTTTAAAACCAAGACACCTGACTCTCTCACACAGCACATCCCACAAGCTCCTGCTCATTTCCAGACAGCTTTCCAAATTCCTCTGCTTCATTTTAAACTTTTCCACATTTTGGTCATCATGAGTCTGAGCCGCACCAAGAGGATCAGCTCCAGCGCGTCGGTCCGCAGCAACAGTGGCCCGCGCAGGGTCAGTGGTTACGGCCCGGGCGGTTTTAGCGGGGTGTCCCTGAGCTCCAGCTCCCTGTACGCCAACGGGCACCACGGCCTGAGCCCCCCGCTGGCCACGCTCTCTGTGAACAAGAGCCTGCTGGCCCCCCTCAACCTGGAGATAGACCCCAGCCTCTCCATGAGCCGTGCACATGAGAAGGAGCAGATCAAGAGTCTCAACAACCGGTTTGCGTCGTTCATTGATAAGGTACGTGCATGGAGTAGTGGGTATTAAATATTAAAAGCCCTTATATGTTCTATCCAAAGAAAGGACCCATAATGTTCAAAATATAGGCTGTTTGGCCTACAAAGCAAAAATAAAAGTGACTTAAAACTGAAGGTGGCACATGAACTTCTAAATTCCGTCTTGTGAGCTTTCTCGATGGAGACAACAATCCTTCTGCAGGCCAAGTAAGGGTCATGCTTGTGGAGATGCAAGCCCACTCAAAGTTGGGCTGTGGTGCAATAAAAACAACAACAAAAGCTGCATTTAGTTTAAAATCATCTTCTAAATCTTGAAGCAAAAAGTAGCTTAATATAGAGAATGAATGGAACTATGCACGTATACCCCATGAATATATGCACATTCGTTTTAGTCTTTATTTTTTATAGTGAAATGTAAACCATGTCTACTGATAAAACAAGCTTCACTGATGTCTGAAAGTGAAGTAACACCTTAATTCTTAATGCGTCATTAAGTGGTATCAGCCTACCGCAGCAGGGCAGCTCTAGACTCTGTCGTAGAACTGTGGATTCATGTGACAAAAGTAACATGTATCAAATTTAGCGGCATCTTTGTACTCCTTAAAAGGTTAAGGTAAGCTTAAATGACACTTCCAAACAATTCACAATGCATTATTCATTCATGCCCCTGTCATAGCTGTGGTCACCTCTCTGCAGCCACAACCGCCCTGGGGCAGACTGATCCACACAACTTCAATTAAACATATTGCTTTATCGTAATCCAGCTAGAGATCAAAAGACAGCACAGTTTTAGAGCTAGTTTCAGCCCTGGATAAATGTTAGGTTCTTTAAGGAAGGGCATCCGGTGTAAGATCAATAGAAATGCAACCAAGAGAAATGGAAAACTGTTCAAGGCAGGATTGTACATGTCAAAAGCGGACTGCAGTGTAATGGAGCATAGAGGCTGAGGGCTGCTGGCTAAGTCGGTCAGTGATACTGCATTTCGAGGCTCATTCGAGTTTCTCACGGCGTCTGTAACATTCACACAATAGAAGCATTCAGCTCTCGGCACATCACTGGATCCTCTGCAGGTGCACGGAGACTCACAGATGACAATCAACTGGTTTCAAGGGATTACTGTGGATTGAGGCCTGCTTTAAAGACATCAAAACAATCTAAAACAGATACTAGAAATGGACTAGAAATACTACTAGAAATGTTATTAAAGGTGCTGGAGATCTACTTGATTTCAAGGACCAAACTAGTTATTTTTAAACTAATCAAAATCACATTTCTATCCTAATCCTATTGTCGCTGCATTGAGCTGATAAGCACGTTTCACATGATGACGTGGAGTATTACAATCACAAGTGAACCTATCTCCAGATAAAGGACACATACAAGTTTTCCTCCTCATTCTCAGTATATTGACCGGCCTCATGTGAAAGCCCAGAACCTCCAGAATTCCCTCACTGAGCTGCAGAGGCTGTACTAGCACAGAGTAATGATTGGCGGCTGGTGTTGGAGTTTAGGTAGTGACCATTCAGATCAGAGAGCGTGGATTTCAGCACTGAACCTGGCAACCCAAATGAGAGAATCAAAGCTCATTCTTGAGAACCTTAATACCAAATTATAACATAAATAAATAGGACATCAAAAGTAAGAATAAAGCAGCATTATAATAATTTTCAGTATATACTTATGTTTGATTTCAACATGTTTACCTCGTATCTGGGGACAGAGATGGGTCAAGCTTACAAAGTCTTGCATACAGTTCCTTTAATTAATTAATCATTTAAAATACAATGTTATTTTTTTCTAAAAGCTAGAAAGAATGTAACTTTAACAAACGAGGGAATTCAAACATGACTGAATACATGTTTTATGACCTTTGCAGCTTTAAATTTACAATAATAATTGTATATTCCTAAAGAAAATGGAACTGTGTAGTGCTTGAAGATTTCAGTGAATCTAGTTTTAATGAATTTTCCACAATGACAACAACAAGCTTAAATGGGCTCGTGTAAAAGTTCCCCTGTCATTTGAGCGTAACCTGATCACACTGCCCCCTCTGGTCCGTCCGGGACACTGAAACATTTAAGAGCACAGGCCCTCATGCAGAGAGGTCAGCGGAGCGTTCAGCCACTGCAAAGGAAATAAACATCAGTGCGGGTTAACAATGGATTAAAGGACATTTTAGAAAGAGTATGGACATAGGGTAGACTTTAATTTACATGGTGTAGCAATTCTTACATAAATTGCACTGGTACAAAATAATAAAAATACTAAGAAAATCTGTCAAAGTCTATTTCTTAGTATTGAAATCGAGTTTGAAATTTTCGTATCGTAACAACACTAAAGTATCTATGTAGTTTAACCCAAATATCCCCCCAAAAATGTCACTTTTTGAAAAACAATTAGAGACATGTCAACATACATGGTAAAATTATTATATAAATTAATATATTAATGTAGTCTTTTCATTATTTATTATTTACAATACCATGTATAGTAAGCAACAAAATTTACTCCAGCATTCCCTTGGTCTTTAAATGCACCACCCTTTTAAACCCAAACCAGTGGCCTGTATAAAACTCTACTTAAAGCCCCTCTCCCCTGCCCTCCACCTGCCCAGAGAGTGTGTGCTCCTGTGTGTGCTCCTGTCCCATCACGGAGCCCTGAGTGTGTAACTCGATAAAGAGGTCATCTCAGCCCCACAGAGAAGGACCGAACACTGGGGCTTTGTGCTGGAGGACAGAATGGAGGGATGGAGGGAGAGATGGAGGGGGGTGGAGGGAGGAAACCTTAGACACAAATAAGTCCCACTGAAATGTAGAGGAGGGATACGGGTCAGGAAGGAAAGGGTTTCAACACTGACGGATGTGCAAATGACCAGAATTTTACCGTCAAAGGAGAAAGTTGTACTTGTTTCCATGAAGATAGACAAGTTTTATATTAAACTGAGGAACATTCCAGTCACAAAAATAACATCTCCATGGAGACGAAGTAGTGGATCCTAACATCTTTAAAAGGCTCATAACCTTTGCCTCCAAATGTTATTGTTTTGGCTGGAATATTCCATAGAATGGCGTTAAATGTAGCCATCTTACATTTATACAATTAGATAAGATAAGATTTTATTGCTCCAACATTTCTCCAAATACATGAATATTTGTGGTCATTTCATACTAAGAGGCAAGGACTCTTGGACTCGGACATTTCATTCTTTATCAGAAGTTCTGTTGCCATAATATGTTGTTGAACTGGTGATTATTAACAGAACAGTAGCAGCACTGTAGGGGTAATTCTTATATTTTAATCACGATATCTGTCATTTTGGATGCAATGTCTATTGGGAAAATACCATTATTATTATTCACAGTTTTCATGTGTGTGTTTTTATATCCTGTTCATATTAGGGAGTAACTGTCTTTGCATATGTTTTGGGGCATCATGACCCAGCACAGATGTGGATGTTTCCTTTCTTTTGGTAATACTTATTTTAGACACTACTATATATGTTTTGTGAGTCTGACGCTCACTTAGACAGAGTAACAACCCTGCATTGAACAGACTTGCCCTCTGCCTCTCTTTGCAAAGATATTAAATAAACTTTTTCTGTTGCTTCAAATGATGTCTATTATTTAAAAATATAATTTTCCATGAGAAATGTTACAAAAGAGAACTCAGTTTACAATTAGCCATGCCTATTAATCTCAGGACAGATGTTTCTTGCAACCAGTGTCTGAAAAAACTGCTTTTTATTCTGATCTTATCTTTTAGCTTCTTTTGCCATATGAGTTACTTGTTACTTTGAGCAGGTTATCCTCTCCACAGATCTGACCTGTAGCTTGGCCAGGTCACCTGCTTCTCCTCATGAATATATATAGTGAACTCTAGTTCCCTATCAATAACAATTTGAAAATGTGCATGCATGCAGTCAAATCAAGTGTAAAATAAAAACATCAGACTGTATCTTGTGCTTGTGCAGGTGCGTTTCCTGGAGCAGCAAAACAAGATGCTGGAGACAAAGCTGGAGCTGCTGCAGGGTCAGGGGGTGAGCCGCTCCAATGTGGAGCCCCTGTTTGAGGCGTACATGGCCGGACTCAGGCGCCAGATGGACCTGGTCAACAACGACAAAACCAAACTGGATGGAGAGCTTCGCAACATGCAGGGGCTGGTGGAGGACTACAAGCACAAGTAAGGACAAAAACAAAAATAAATGAACTTTATTTATGTAGCACATTTGATGAACAAGAAGTTATTAAAGTGTGGCAGAATAATAGATAAAAGAATAGAAACTGTGAACTCAAATAAGCCCTGGAAAAGCAATACATTATGATCAGAAAAATCATAATGTGAAAATGATTCTTACTGTGAGACTTAACAAATGCATACTAAAATTGACTTTTCTTTGCTATGTTTTTTTTTTTTTTTGACCTTCATGTTTGTATTTGGTCAAGCTTTTTTAGAGTTGCACAATAATAGAACATTTTGAAACACAATAATTTGCTGCATAATTAAAGCCAGTTATATGAAATCTATATTGTGGCAAAAAAATTTACCTGTAAATTGGAGTACTGTTAGTCATGATACTAAAATTTCAAATTAGATTACAAATCAGAAGCCTTGATATTATTAAAACAATTTTCATTCCACAGTTGATACCACAGCAATTAATTAACCTGTTGATTGTGATGTTGACTTTTCTAAAGCTATTCAGAAGTCTGATTTTATTGTCTTCATGTGATTTTTTTTTCAGTATCAGTGTTTTGATAGTAACACTACTTTTTGTTATTTCATTAGAGAATAGTGAAATGTTCTGTTTCATGTCTTAAAAGCCACTGTAGATTTGATAATAGTGTTTATAATTCAGAATGCAAGTTTCTTTTTTATTGCACAATGACAAGAGTAATAATTAGATTCATGATGAAACTGAGAAACTCTATATTGATTTATTACGCTTAAAAAAAACACACGAGTATAAATATACAGTATATATATAGATAATTTTTGCGCTTATGGCCTTTTCATTCATATGATCCCATTTTAAAACATAAACCTGCTATTTCTGCCCTGTGCGTTGCCAGATATGAGGATGAGATCAACAAAAGGAACAACCTGGAGAATGACTTTGTGATCCTAAAGAAGGTCAGTCTCATTCACTCACAGGTGTGGTCTGCAATGTGACACTGCCTATTGTACTTTATATTGTACTCTCCCTTTCACACCTCTTATATACTTTCAGCCAAATACAAAAAATACTACAACTGCAGTTTAACATAAAGAAGGTTCAAAAGTTGTAGCCGCCTAAGCACATTTTGGGTCTTTTCATGTAATATAAATAAAAGTAGTTTTGCCCAGTACAGAAATATTTTAACAGAAGCTAAATGAGACAACTGGGTACTGTCTGCATCTAATGATAAAGCTTTTTTATCATGCATGAAACAGGAAGTGGTGGGGGTGTCCCTTTAACATGCTAGTTGTTGTTGTTGTTAGCATAGGGTGACCAAATTCTCAAAATCAAAAATCAAAAATAGTTGGTAATAATAAAATTGTGAAACAAGTGCATGATTAAGGAAAATTGTTATGCATTCACAACTTACATGAGTCAGTATAGTTATATTTTCTTTATTTTCTTTGTGTTTTGGTCATTTTTAAGCAGCTTTTCTGTATTTTATCTAAACAAATGACAATTTATGTCCCTCTTTACTGTTGGCAGGGATCAAATTGGTCAAAAATAGGGACACCTGGGACATGTCTTTTATAAAATTGGGACAAATCACTGGTTTTGGATAAATCTGCTGGGACAGGGGACACAGGGCTCAAAACTGGGACTGTCCTGGGTAAATAGGGGAGTCTGGTCACCCTGTGTTAGCATTATCTTAAAAACAAAACTCAGTTCTGAGTGCTCTGAGTCAGCAATACAATATCATCTTAGAACAAAAAATACATGGTTCTTTATATATTATATATCAAGAATCTGCTTCCATTCATTTTTACAAAGATGTATTGTGTAAACAGGATGTGGACTCAGCCTACCTGGTGAAGGCCGACCTGGAGGACAAAGTGGGAGCTCTGACTGACGAGATCAACTTCCTGCGCAATGTCTATGAGGAGGTAACCTGAGAGTGACACACAACAGTTGACTCAACCGTTCTATATTAAGCTCTAATGACCAGCAGAGGGCGCTCACTCAAGTGTCTTTACAATCCAAGCCTAACTATATGCTTCCAATGTAGGGAGTATTATAATCTCTGATAATGTGTGATTTCTCTGCCAGTTAGAATACAACTCATAGTATATTGTCATTATCTAATTTGAAAACATTTTATAATTCATTTTATAATTGCAAACTTGTTAGAAAGAACCATTTAAGTCACAATACGACCCTTTGGAGTGTGAGCTACGCAGGAGTGGTCCATCCTGGTTCACTTTTCTGTCTGAAAAAGCTGTACTAAACCTGTGCTAGAGGCCAAATAATATAAGTAGTATATTATTAGCAATAGTAATTCACTTTTTGGATTGTTCCTTCATCAAAAACATGCCTGAAGTTGTCCCATATGTCATCCATGCATGTATAATGTTTGAATTATCTAGTGAAATCTAGTGATCTTTCCCGGTCCCTATTCTAATCCTCCTTACGCTTAGCAGCAGTATGATTCTATTCGATATAAGCAATAAAATAATACAAAACAAAACAATACAACTTCACAAACCTGATGCTACATGCAGTAATAGTAAGTGTATTACCCTCTCTTTAATGCACTGAAATACCAACTTTCTCTCTTCATAGTTTGAAATTTCAGAAAATCTGGTACACCCTAATTAATAAGAAATTATTATTATTATTCAATAAAGTATTCAAGTGTCAACATTTGTTCTACGTTTTGATGTGTAGTCTATATTCATAATTGCAGGCTTTAGTCAAGTATGAAGCCTCCTGTGTCCAGTCTGACATCATTAAAAACATCACAAACTTCCTGTGTCCTCTAGCTGACTGTCTCTTTTCTCTTTTATCCATGTGTAGGAGCTGCGTGAACTTCAGGGCAGTATCAAGGACACCTCTGTGGTGGTGCAGATGGACAACAGCCGCAGTCTGAACATGGAGCAGATCGTGGCTGATGTCAAAGCCCAGTATGAAGACATCGCTGCTCGGAGCCGAGAGGAGGCAGAGGCCTGGTACAAGAGCAAGGTACACACAGTCTGGAAAAATCAAAGGCAACGACAGAGGTGTAAAAAATAAGTTTATATTTAATAAAGGCAAAACTGTAATTCAACAAAAGCTAAAAAAAAAATTGTAATAATGCAAATTTCAAATAATATTAACAAACGTTTTGCCCCAACTTAGATCATGTTAACCAAAACTGAAAAGACCCATCAAAGGACAGAGGTAAAAGGATTAACCAAAAGTGAACACAAGAGGGAGGCATTACACTTAAGATAAACTAAAAAATACTAATTTAAGCAAAGTAACAATAAGGCATAGTTATAACTATACAGAAAAAAAAAAGAAAAAACTGTGATAAGTAACTAAACTGACCTAAATGTGAAATGTAACAAAAAAAAAACAAACAAATAAAAATATTAACACTTGTGGTGGCAGAGGAATCCATTGTAGATTATTAGATTGTTATTTGTTGTTGTGTCCTTGTTGCAGTTTGACCAGATGTCAGTTCAGGCCAGTCAGTTTGGAGACGAGCTGAGGATCGTTAAAGGAGAGCTGGCCGAGGTGAACCGCCTCATCAGCCGCCTGCAGAGTGAGATCGAGGCCGTCAAAGCACAGGTACAACAGCACAGGAGAGGTAGTTAAATGGACGATATGTAGAACTCATGACTGCCCTCTTGTGGCCCTCAGAGGAGCGGTCTGGAGAACCAGCTGGCTGAGGCGGAGGAGAGGGGAGAGCTGGCGGTGAAGGAGGCCAAAGCCCGGACTAGAGACCTGGAGGACGCACTGCAGAGGGCCAAGCAGGACATGGCCCGCCAGCTCCGCGAGTATCAGGTCAGCGTGGTCAACCTTACACAGCAAGACTGACTCTCATGTTATTTCTAAGTTTAGTGAGCCTGTTTTAGTGAAAATACTGACTTTTTGGTTGTAAAAAACATTCAGAGGTAAGCACTTTGTGGATTTGTGGACAGGGAAGATATGTGTGCTTTTCTCTTAACTGGATATAACAAAAGTTTGTTCACTATTGTGTCACTTCGACCAATCAGATTCAAACAAAACTCATCATGATCTTCCGCCTTTTTCACTTTCACTGGGTTGTTCTAAATTGATCAATCTGATGTGAGCCACTATATTCACCCTATATGTCTGATACACAACATTTCAAGGGACCAATACAAATCAATGTAACACAAACCATACCTGCCTTACATTATGCATGGAATAAGTTAAAATTAAACAGAAAGTCTGCCTCATTTTGAGCAAACATAAATACATCTGGTCGCATGATACAGCAACTTCACAGAGCAAACTTTTCTTCTGGTTTACAGGACCTGATGAATCTGAAGTTGGCCCTGGACATTGAGATCGCCACTTACAGGAAGCTCCTGGAAGGAGAGGAGGACAGGTACTGACACAGAAGACTTTGACAAAGTAATGCTTTGGTTTTGCCCTCACCGATGAAGTGTCATTATGGAGTTGGCATTTAGATTAAACTCAGAACATCAGCTTTTCATCCCTGTCCAAACAACCCCACGTATCGACCTGATTGTCTGTGTTCTCTTTCAGACTGGGCCAACAGTCCATCCTCAACATTCAGTCTGTCTCCACCTACAGTAAGTAACCGGAGACCCGGACTTCAGCGAGACCAAAGAGCCACTTTTACACTTTTCAAATTGTTTACATCTGCAACATGACCACCTTTGACCTAAACCACCTTGTAACTGGATGAGATTAGAAATAAAAGTGATTGGAAATGTCCCGTGCATGTTTGTGTGCGTGCTTGTCATTGATTGGCTCTTATCCCCTCTCCCCTCCACACCCCTCCTCTTGGCCTCTCTCTCCTCTGTGTGCAGGTCCCACTAAAAGCTCAAATGGCTTCAGCAGTCAGAGCAGCTCTCCTCTGCCCAAGCTGCTCATAAAGACCACAGAGACCAGGGACAACAGCCGATTCAGCTTCCACTGAGACTTTATGAATGACCCGTGCTTTTATAAGGTGTAAAGAAATGTCCAAATGTGAAACGGGGTACCACTTTTTAATAACTACTCCTTAATAAAGCATCAACAAAGATAATGAGCAGATAGTTTATTAAGAATGACTCAGGTTAGTTACTACTTAATTAAGAAGTTTGTGTATTAATTAAAGCATCAGTATGTAACTTTCTATCAAAAACTGAGACTAAAATAAAGGTTGGTTGGTTTTATTGCACTATTTTTTTCCATGGGAATGTTGTTCCTTTTATGAGAATCTTCTAAAGTATGGCATAAAACTATTTTTTTTAAGTATGGTTTAAACTTTCTATTTCCATAGAATCATGCAGGTGATGTGCCACCTCCAGAAAGTTACATATTTTAGCTTTAAGTAGTTGCTAAGTCTGAGTCACTCTTTATACACAATTTGTTACCGTATTTTCTGGACTATAAGTCGCTCCGGAATATAAGTTCCACCAGCCAAAAAATGCACAATGAAGAAGAAAAAAACATATATAAGTCACACCGGACTATAAGTCACACTTCTTGGGGAAATGTATTTTGTAAAGTCAGAGACCAGGAACCGACATTTCATCTTGAAAGGCAAGTTATAGTAATAACAATAGAACAGAGAACAACATACTGAATAGGTATTAATATGTTAAAGTAACATACTGACAGGTATTCAGATAATTATAGCATAAACAACAGAACATAAGTTTACCAAACTCACTATGTCACTCCAAATTACTAAATACATTGAATTGAATACATCCTCAGCGTCACTTGTCACACACCTCCAGAGAAAAAAACATAGATCCATGAGGTAATTACCGCGCCTCAGACTCAGCATCAGTTCCAGTTAGAATTATTCCGGCCTTTCTGAATCCCGACAGGATGGTTTCGATTGTCATTAAAGTCCAGGCTTTGTCGATTCGTCCAGTGACTTCCAGAAAAGTTTCATGGTGCACCCGCCCGGTTACCATGAAGCTGTGTTCTCCATCCCCGCTTTCCGCCAGTCCCTCACAAGTTTCTCGCTCACTCCAAACTTTCTTTTTGCTGCTCGATTACAGTTTTTGGCTGCATATTTCACTATTTGCAGCGAGACAGCAGCTATTTCTACAGGAGGCATTTGCAGTAAAGTGCGAAGTGACAGTGGTACAGAAGTAATGGTAGTACTAGATACTGACACACAAACCTAGAGCGCCCTCTCTTGGCTGTCAATCTGAAAATTTAATATAATAGTCGCACCGGAGCATAAGTTGCAGGACCACCCAAACCATGAAAAAAAAGCGACTTATAGTCAGAAAAATATGGTACTTATAATTGAAGATATGAAGTCTTTGTTCATGCTATTAAAGGCTATTAAAAGTGTTGGTGTACCCTATACCAGAAAGGTTACATAGTGCAGCTTTAATACGTTATAATAATAGAAAATATGAAAGTAAACACACATACACTAGGCCTAGTTATAGCTAATAATTGTAAGCTTGACACAGAATACATGTACAGCAGCGTCTTACAGTACACAATACATTAGGCCTATATATATATATATATATATATATATAGAATAGTCATTAAACTATATTATTGTTACATTAGAGGGTTGGATTTTTGTATAGAAAACTTTTATTATCCAGGATGTTTTGTGGAAATAGGTGTGTCACTTTACGTAGCCATGGGTGAACATATGTAATAAAATAAAATGTAAGCCTGTGTTGTTTTTCTTTCCTAGGGCGGGGTATTCTGGGATAGGGTGACCAGATGTCCCTGTTTACCTGGGACAGTCCCAGTTTTGAGCCCTGTGTCCCCTGTCCCAGCAGATTTATACAAACCATTGATGTGTCCCAGTTTTAAACAAAAACTATCCGAGTCCCAGGTGTCTATTTTTGACCAGTTTGATCCCTGCCAACAGTAAAGAGAGGCATAAACTGTCATTTGTTTCGGTAAACTACAAAAAAGCTGCTTAAAAATCACCAAAACACGAAGAAAATGTGACTATACTGACTCACATGTTAGTCATGAATGGGCTTAACTATGCACTCATTTTCACTATTTTATTATTACCAACCATCCCAAAGTAGAGATGTCCTAGTTTTTTATTTTCAAAATCTTGCTACCCCATTCTGGGAGTAAATGGGAACTATGAAATGAAACACTAACAGTTGTGTATACCCAATGGGACTTCAATGATATTTTGCTAATAATATTTGTTACAGAATTAATACATCTCAGAAAAATAGAGAGCGTATCTGATGTGGCTGGGATATCAACACAAGGGTGAGAAAAAAACAAACAAACAAACAAACGACATTTTTACTGGAAGATTTTTATTGTTATTAATTTCTCTACCATGTTATAACGTTTCCTCATCAAAAACATATCTGACGAGGTTTTAAAAGTCAACACTTTCAGCAAATTTGCGATCTCTCAGCAGTACTATTCTAGCTGTAATGGAGATTTGTATTTATTTATTTATTTATTTATTTTAATTAATTTATTTATTTTTTTTTATAGGGTGACCAGATTTTCAAAATTCAAAACTGGTACACACCCGGGTTGGGATATTTGGTATAAATAAAATTATGAAAAGAGTGTGTAACATGGTGGATTCTCATGTCAGTTATAATTTGACAGACTTCTGTCACTGCCCCCCCTTGAACCGTCACCTTATCGTGGTGGAGGGTAACAGAAGCCCCTATGATGAGTTAAAGGCCAGTTACGTCGCCCGGATTGGCGTCACCGGGGCCTCACCCTGGAGCCAGGCCTGGGGTGGGTGCTCGCCAGCGAGCGCCTGGTGGCCGAGCCTCCCCCCACGGGGCTCGGCCTGGGCTCAGCCCGAAGGAGCGACGTGGGGCCGTCCTCACGTGGGCCCACCACCCGCAGGAGGATCCATATGGGGCCGGTGCAGAGAGATCTGGGCAGCAGTCGACGGCGGGGGCCTCGGCGACCGGATCTCCGGACATGGAGACTAGCTCTGGGGACATGGAATGTCACCTCGCTGGGGGGGAAGGAGCCTGAGCTTGTGCGGGAGGTTGAGCTGTACCGACTAGATATAGTCGGCCTCACCTCCACGCACAGTTTTGGGCTCTGGAACCCAACTCCTTGAGAGGGGCTGGACTCTCCATTCCTCTGGCGTTGGCCGCGGGGAGCGGCGGCGGGCTGGTGTTGGGCCTGCTCATTGCCCCACAGCTCAGCGCTGTGTGTTGGAGTTCACCCCGTGAACGAGAGGGTCGCGTCCCTGCGCCCTTCGGGTCGGGGACAGGTCTCTCACTGTGGTGTCGGCCTACGGGCCGAACAGCAGTGCTGAGTACCCGGCCTTCTTGGAGTCCTTGGAGGGGTACTAGACAGTGCACCGACCGGGACTCCGTTGTTCTCCTGGGGGACTTCAACGCCCACAGTGGGCAACGACAGTGACACTTGGAGAGGGGTGATTGGGAGAACGGCCTCCCCGATCTGAACCGAGTGGTGTTTTGTTATTGGACTTCTGTGCTAGTCACAGTTTGTCCATACAAACACCATGTTCGAGCACAAGGGTGTCCATAAGTGCACGTGGCACCAGGACACCCTAGGCCGGAGGTCGATGATCGACTTTGTCGTCGTGTCATCTGATCTCCGGCCGCGTGTCTTGGACACTCGGGTGAAGAGAGGGGCTGAGCTGTCAACTGATCACCACCTGGTCGTGAGTTTTGGTTCGCTGGCGAGGAGGAAGCCGGAAAGACCTGGCAGACCCAAGCGTGTAGTGAGGGTCTGTTGGGAACGTCTGGCGGAGCCCTCTGTCAGAGGGACCTTCAACTCGCACCTCCGGGAGGACTTCTCCCGGATTCCGGGGGAGGCTGGAGATATGGAGTCCGAGTGGGCTTCATTCTCGGCCTCTATTGTCAATGCAGCTGCTCGGAGCTGTGGGCGTAAGGTCTGTGGTGCCTGTTCGGCGGCGGCAACCCCAGAACCCGGTGGTGGACACCGGAAGTAAGGGATGCTGTCAAGCTGAAGAAGGAGTCCTATCGGGCCTTGCTGGCTCGGGGGACTCTGAGGCAGCTGACGGGTACTGGCGGGCCAAGCGTGCTGCAGCCCGTGTGGTCGCGGGAGCAAAAAACTCGGAGCTGGGAGGAGTTCGGGGAGGCCATGGAGAAGGACTATCGGACGGCCTCAAAGAGATTCTGGCAAACCGTCCGGCGCCTCAGGAGGGGAAAGCAGTTCTTCACCAACACTGTTTACAGTGCGGGGGGAGAGCTGTTGACCTCGACTGGGGACGTTGTCCGGCGGTGGAAGGAATACTTTGAGGATCTCTCAAATCCCACCGTCACGTCCTCCGAGGAGGAGGCCGAGGCTGGGGACTCAGAGGCGGACTCATCCATCACCCTGGCCGAAGTCACTGAGGTGGTTGGCAAGCTCCTTGGTGGCAAGGCTCCGGGGTTGGATGAGATCCGTCCTGAGTACCTGAAGTCTCTGGATGTTGTGGGGCTGTCTTGGCTGACACGCCTCTTCAACATCGCGTGGCGGTCGGGGACAGTACCTCTGGACTGGCAAACCGGGGTGGTGTCCCTCTGTATAAGAAGGGGACCGGAGGGTGTGTTCCAACTATAGGGGGATCACACTTCTCAGCCTTCCCGGTAAGGTCCTATCAGGGTACTGGAGAGGAGAATCCGGCCGATAGTCGAACCTCGGATTCAGGAGGAGCAGTGTGGTTTTCGTCCTGGCCGTGGAACACTGGACCAGCTCTACACTCTCCATAGGGTGCTCGAGGGTTCATGGGAGTTTGCCCAACCAGTCCACATGTGTTTTGTGGATCTGGAGAAGGCATTCGACCGTGTCCCTCGTGGCGTCCTGTGGGGGGTGCTCTGGGAGTATGGGGGTCCGGGGGCCCTTTGCTAAGGGCTGTCCGGTCCCTGTATGACCGGAGCAGGAGCTGTGTTCGCATTGCGGCAGTAAGTCAGACCTGTTCCCGGTGCATGTTGGACTCTCCGCAGGGCTGCCCTTTGTCACCGGTTCTGTTCATTGTATTTATGGACAGAATTTCTAGGCGCAGTCAGGGGCCGGAGGGGTCCGGTTTGGGGACCACAGGATTTCATCTCTGCTGTTTGCGGACGATGTTGTCCTGTTGGCTTCATCGAACCAGGACCTGCAATGTGCACTGGGGCGGTTTGCAGCCGAGTGTGAAGCGGCTGGGATGAAGATCAGCTCTTCCAAGTCCGAGGCCATGGTTCTCGACCGGAAAAAGGTGGCTTGCCCTCTCCGGGTGGGTGGGGAGTCTTTGCCTCAAGTGGAGGAGTTCAAGTATCTCGGGGTCTTGTTCACGAGTGAGGGAAGGACGGAACGTGAGATTGACAGGGCGATCGGTGCAGCTTCGGCAGTGATGCGGTCGCTGTATCGGACCGTTGTGGTGAAGAGGGAGCTGAGTCGAAAGGCGAAGCTCTCGATTTACCCGGTCAGTCTTCGTTCCTACTCTCACCTATGGTCATGAGCTCTGGGTAGTGACCGAAAGGACGAGATCGCGGATACAAGCGCTCGAAATGAGTTTCCTCCGCAGGGTGGCTGGGCGCTCCCTTAGAGATAGGGTGAGGAGCTCAGTCACACGGGAGGAGCTCGGAGTAGAGCCGCTGCTCCTCCACGTCGAGAGGAGCCAGTTGAGGTGGCTCGGGCATCTGTTCCGGATGCCTCCTGGGCGCCTCCCTCGGGAGGTGTTCCGGGCATGTCCCGCCGGGAGGAGGCCCCGGGGAAGACCCAGGACACGCTGGAGGGACTATGTCTCTCGGCTGGCCTGGGAACGCCTCGGGGTCCCCCGGAGGAGCTGGAGGACGTGTCTGGGGTGAAGGAAGTCTGGGAGTCCCTGCTTAGGCTGCTGCCCCGCGACCCGGCCCGGATAAGCGGACGAAAATGGATGGATGGATGGATTCTGTCACTGCATTTTTTTGCTTTAGGGTCATTCGCAAACACGGTTTTCTGTATTTTGGCTAAACAAACGACAATTTATGCTCCTCTTTACTGTTGGTAGGGATCAGATTACACAGAAATTGTTATAGTCCTGTTTTTGTTTAAACTCAATTTAGTCTTGGTTTATTTAGTCAAAAAATAAGGACACCTGGGACATTTCTTGTATAATACTGGGACAAATCACTGGTTTGTGTAAATCTGCAGGGACAGGGGACACATGACTCAAATTTGGGACTGTCCCGGGTAAATAGGGACGTCTGATCACCCTATTTTTATTTTATTTTTTTCAATGTTACTGTAACGGAGAGGTATGTAGTGTGTTATTCTCTTTTTGACACGATTTGTATTACGCAGCAGTGTCCAGCAGAGGGCGCCATTTACAGCGCGTTCACGTATTGGAGGAGTAAACCACACGCGCGCCTCCTCTGATTGGCCTACGCTGCCCGCTTTTCCCGCCAAACCGCTGCATTGTGGGAAGTGTATGCGGAAGTGCGTGCGTCGTTGTAGTTTTACGGAGGAGTGAGGGGATCCCGTGTTTTGGTTGCGCGTTTACCCGTTTTTACCTTATTTTTGGGGTTTTTTTTGACGTCAGACCGGCGGAGGATCGGGGGCACGGATGCGGGGAGAGGAGTCGTCGGATTCGGAGAGCGGCAGGATGGAGGAGAGCTCGGCGCGGCGCAGTTTGGAAGCCCTCTGTCAGGAGTTAAACCTGGACGAACAAACCGCGACAGAGGCCATGGAAAACTTCACTGCCATCTGCAACACGTACACTCTGGAGGTACGCAAATACGAGGCCGAATCCGCTAGCGATGCCGGAGTTTTAATCGTTTTACGCACGACGAGCGCACGGTTCGCTATTGGTCCCAAAATAACCCACGCGTAACAGTAAAGTGTTAAAGTGGAAGGCGTCCCCCATTGTCCCATCAGCTGCTGCTTGTTATCAACATGGTCTCGTCTTTCACATGCAAAACACTGGAGTTCCCGAGAGCATTTTATGAATAGTTTCTGTTTGACCGGTCTATAATCTTATTTTTGTGCTTAAAAGCGATTATTTTTATTATTTTTGTGATATTTTCTGTTGTTTCCTCATCAAAAACATACCCGGAGTTGTGTGTTGTTTCATTCAGACATGTTCATGAAATTCTGCATATTTAGACTGAGTTTTTTCTGTTTCACCTTGTTATGTTATTGTGTGTCATTGTGGTCCATTGTGTTTTTAACTCTATACACCTTCACTAGAATATTTTGGATAATATCAGCCCGGAATTTGCAAATCTTCACTGAACTAAATGTAAAAAGTAGCTGTTAACTTAAACTACCATTACATGACATGAGAAGTTGGAACAGAGCATTTTAAGCTTTGGAGATATAGACTGACTAATAATGAAGATTACTCTTAAATTTGCAAATGAAACAAAACTCCAGACATGTATTTGATGAGGTTACGGCATTCTAACATGATTTAAATCTTGCAAGTCAATTTTGTGTAATATAGGACCATTTTAAGAACAATGTTTATTTATTTATTTTGTCGTCAACTGAGCTCTGGTCTGACATGTCCTTGCTTGTTCTGTGAGTCAAACAGCTGTCACAGTGCAACCGCAGGATTACATCACATCCTGAAAACTACAGACCCAAGCAAGCCTATTTCACACAGCTTCTTATTTTATACTGGACATTTCGAGTAATTTTAGAGGGGAAGCCTTGAGCTAAAATAGTTTTTTTTTTTTAAGCTGCACATTAATCTAGATATGTGGCCAATGTTTAGTTTGTTGTTGCCTTTTATCAAAATAGTCTAATTCTGTTCATGACAGCACAGTTCAAAATAGCATTAGAATTGTGGCTACATGCAGTAACCCGCTGAAATGTTACTGCATTGTATATTATAGAGTAGAGGTTGGTAATATACTGAATTAAAATTAATATAATGATATTTCCGCATTATCACAACATACATTGAGGACCCAAAAGAAATTGTGCTACTGTCTTTGTCTTTGAAATGTCTTTATGTGTTAGTTAAAATTAAAGTAATAGACACATGTGAAAGTACAATTAATCAAATGAATTGGATTAATTCACGTTTTGATGAACATTGAGAAAAATTAAAAAATTGGGAAACTGAGGTTTGTCGTGAAACAAGCTTACTCCTGATTTTACACAGCATAACTGAAACATACTGAATCAAACAACTGGCAATGGAAAAAAAAGAAAGAAAAGTGACTTCAATAAAATTTCCCCACCCCAAAGAGTCACAGACGCTTCTGACTTTCATTAAGTGTGCAAAAACAGATTTTATTATTTGACTATATCACCCAGACATAGAAAGGATCGTATAATGCCTCAAAAATGCTGATATAAACCTTTTTTTTTAATATAGTATGTTTGAAAGATTATAACAGAACTTTGATCTGTTTCATATAATATGTTCTTCAGATTTTGCATATCCTCAAAACATTAAGAATATTGTTAATTCGATACGTTGCCCTTTGTCAAGTCCGCAAACAAAAGGAACAAAGATGGTGAAAACGAAACAAATGAGTAATGAACTATATATTGCATGGTTGTTTTTGTTATAAAATGTGTCACTCCTATAATATATTTTGTGATTTGTTTCTGTGTTCCAGGGGGAGGTGGTGCACTGGCTGGCCTGTGCTCTGTACGCTGCCTGCAGGAAAAGCTCTGTTCCCACTGTGGGAAAAGGCCTGATGGAGGGGAACTGTGTGTCTCTTACCAGGATCCTGCGCTCCTCCAAACTCAGGTTGTGCTCTGCATTGGACTAATGAACCAGCATTATCATAATTGTATAGAATTATATTTAATCTTAAATCAATAAATTATAATGATAATGCATTGGCTTTGGTAACCAATGCCATATATTTGATATATGAATAAGGAAGGTTTGTGCCACCAAAGTGTTGTATAAAACACTGAACAAGACAACCCTGCTATAGACATCCCTTCTTATCTTACACTTACATCTTACTCTTCTCTTTTAATGTTAATTTTTATGATGATTATTTATGTTTTGATTAGTTTGTTTTGTGATAATAATGTATTTCTTATTCTTTAAAGCACTTTGATTTACTTGCGAATTGTGGTATACAAATAAACTTGCCTGGCCTTATCTCTACTGTCAAATTGTCACATTCAAATGGCTTTTATCCCACTTGACATTCTCCTCCTCCTTTTCCCCTTCTCTCTCTCTGCAGCCTGATCCAGTTCTTCTCAAAGATGAAGAAGTGGGCGGACATGTCGAACCTGCCGCAGGACTTCAGGCTGAGGATGGACCGTCTAGAGAGGAACTTTGAGGTTTCCACTGTGATCTTCAGGAAGTTTGAGCCCATTTTTATGGACATGTTTCAGAACCCCCAGGGAGCTGAGCCGCCACGGCAGCCGCGCAGCCGCAAACACAGGTGAGGTCCTGACAGCAGTGCTCAAATATGATATGAGAGTAGATTTTGGTTATTGATTTGGCATTGTTACTATAGGTTTATGGAGTAGATGAAACTTTCATTTGTGTTTTCAGCATTTTGTCAGTGTTGAAATCTTATTTGTAAATTTCTGTTCATTCATGTAAATAATATCAAAGCTTAGACAAACTTTATTGATCCACAAGGGAAATTAGTTGGACACAGTCGCTCACACATCACAGCATATTATAAAAACAAAGCCTAAAGAATATAACTCTAATTAAATACATAAGTAACAATAAAAATGGCAAGAGACGGGTGTTAAATAAGACGTAATTATATAGATGTATATGAACAAATCAAAGTAAAATAGAAAATACGTAATAAAAATATCACTTCTATATACAAGATGCCGTAAGGAAAACGGTGCAAAGATTATATGATAATTGACGAGTCATCTGTTACATAAAGATGAGATGTTGTACAGCTGTATGGAGTATGGTATGAGTGTAGTCCTGTATCTCTCACTGTTTGAGTGGAGCTGTAGGAGCTTGTTGGAGAAAACAATGAAAGACCAGGTTAGGGACATCTTTATAATTTTCTTTTATAAATGAAAAAATAGCCATACATTTGAAAACATGTTTGTAAAGGTTTAAATTACAAGTACAACAACATTTTTTATAGAAAAGAGAGGATCTTCTTGTTGTTTTCAGATGACCTTTGTATTATCTAAATAACTGTATTCTTTTTGATTTGTTAATTGTATCAACTCAAATCAATTTCAAATCTATTTCCATACATTGTGCAGCCATGGTTCAAAATGTTCTTGTGTTTTAACTAATGATGAACTAATCCCTGCATTTGTGTTCCTCCACAGACGGCTGCCCTGTCACATCAGTGATGTGTTCAAATTCTGCTGGACTTTGTTTGTTTACACTAAAGGTACAAACGTGGATTTTAACATTTATGGTTCTAGCTCTGTAGGTCTTTCCTGTCCCTCTTTAGTTAAGTTGTCCTTTAGAAGTTCTTACATGAAAAGTTGATAAAGTGTTGTTGTGTACTTGCAGGGAATTTCCGTATGATTGGTGATGACCTGGTGAACTCGTATCACCTACTGCTCTGCTGTTTGGACCTGGTCTTTGGCAACGCTCTGCTTTGTTCAAACAGGAAAGATCTCATCAACCCCACATTCAAAGGTACACCTCCAAATCCTTCAAGTTTGACAGCTGGCAAAGACTGCAATGGTTTAAGTCATTTGCAAGCAACCAAATATCCTATCCAAATACTTTATTATGGAGAAAAGCTGCTAACCTTGAAATTTAGACCTCTACAAGCAACCAAAATTCTTCTGGTTCTTGTATTCTGTCTAGGGATGTAACAGTAACTCAAATATTGTGATATCTTATCATCAAAACTCTCACAATAATATTGTGAGCTGCCACAATATATCGAATTGCAAGGTTTTTTACTTATAGTATTAAAACAGAGGGAACTGCATAGGCCATGATCCTTTACTTAATTTACTACATAATAAAATAAGCACTTTTAAATCTTCTTTGGAATGTGATAGTGGTGATTCACACTGAAGATTTGTCAAGTTATTTACAAAGGAAAAAATAACATATGTACAATTCTGTTAACCTGTCCAAAATATCGCAATAAATATCATACTTTGATTTGGTACATCCCTTGTTCTATCAAATATGAATTTTTCTGGACATCTGCACTTTGAACAAAATCCAACTAATGAAATTTTAATCTAATAGCTGGTGCAGTGTTTTGGCATCATATATTTTGTTATTCAGTCATTTAGCCACATTTCATTCTTTATACTTAATCGTCTGCATATGGATAGTCTGAAAAATCTAAAATTGTAATGGCAGTATTTTTTAAAAAGTTGCTCATTCATGCTTAAATTTTATGATTTAAAAAAACTCAACAAGGACCAAACCAAAGTCAACTCATACCACATCAGAACTATTCTCCACAACCTGAACTACACACACAGTAGATACAATGAACCACTCTACATTAAAGGTGCATTGAGTAGCTTTTCTGGTGAAGGGTCCATCAAATTCTTTTTGCTTTGTCTGGCATGTTTCACAGTGTGGTATTAAATAGGGATGTAACAGTAACCAAAATATCGTGATATCATATTGTCAAGTTCTCACAATAATATCGTGGAGCATCACAATATATCGAATTACAAGTCTCTTTGCTTAAATTAAGAGTTATGGTGCAGCAACAGCTAAAAAAAAGACAGATGGAACTGCATAGACCATGATCCTTTGCTCCATTTCACTGTAGACTACAAGAAGAAATAACAGTTCTAAGCACTTTAAAGTCTTAGTTCTTTGGATTAAGTCTTGTCAAGGCATTTTAAGAGGAAAAAGTAGCATATTAACAGTTTTGTTTGCTCCACAAAATATTGCAATAAATATCGTACCGTGAGGTTCATACCGTGACGACATCGTATTGTGAGACTTGGATATCGTTACACCCCTAGTATTAAACCTTTTTATCATCAAACCAGACCAAGTTACAGATCAGATCTCTGGAGAGACAACCCCACTTACAATCAGAATGCTTAGTTTCTTTTAGGTATTTTTGAGCTATAAAACCACCTGTAATTGAACAAATGTAAGGTAGAACAGCTTAATGTCATACTGTGGAACATTGTAAGCAGAGCAATGACGTATCCATAGAAACGAGCAGATGCTGGACCCAGAACCGGGCAAGTTACACAATGCAGCTCTTAATATATGTCCCTCTCTTCTATGTGCCCTTTGTGTGCGCAGGCCTCCCTCCTCAGTACAGGCTGCTGGATGGGCCCGTCCTGGATGAACCTCCTCCATGTGTTTTGGACAGACTGTGTGAGCTCCACGATGGGCTGGTGGTGGAGGCCAAAGGAATCAAACAGCACTACTTTAGACCGTACATCCAGAAGCTCTTCGACAAAGGGGTATGTGCTAAGCCAGGAGTTTTCACGGCATGGTTAAATACTGGTTAATCCTGGTTTTAGTCCTGGTTTTAGTCCTGGTTTTAGTCCTGGTTTTAGTCCTGGTTTTAGTCCTTTTTTAGTCCTTTTTTAGTCTTGATATTTGACCTGGTTTCCTGGTTTTAGGTCCTGGTTTTAGGTCCCGGTTTTAGGTTTTAGGTCCCGGTTTAGGTCCCGGTTTAGGTCCCGGTTTTAGGTCCTGGTTTTAGGTCCTGGTTTAGGTCCTGGTTTAGGTCCTGGTTTAGGTCCTGGTTTTAGTTCTTAGTTCGTCTTTATGGATTTTTTTTTGTTTTGTTTTGAGCAGATAGTGAATGGCCGATATTTACAGATACCAATATTAAGCTTTTAAAATCAATTGCAAAGACCAAATTTACAATATTTTTATTACAGTGATGTTAAAAATTAACTTTTCGCTTTTGTAAAAATAATTACACTATTTATTTATTTATATGTATTTATTGATATTATTTAGATATAAATTAACATATTCACTCATGTTTCTGTTCAAAAAGACAAATCTGGTGCACTGATGGCAAACTGTGAATGTTACATGAATGCACACAGACTGGAGCAGTGCAGGAAAAATATTTGTGCAAAATTTTCAATATCTGACCAATATCGAAAAAAAAAAAATCCCATTTATACTAATATGGGTAATATTGTGGGAGTGATAGGAAGGCCAGTATACAATTCACAGCTCATTTGGATTGCTTGCAAGATCCTAACACTAAATCCAGTTGGTTTAAACCCAAAATACCTCTCTCTGATCTGAATGGTCATTACCTAAACCCCAGAACCTGCAGACAGTCATGAATTAGTGCTCGTGCAGCCTCTTTAGCTCAGTGAGTGAATTTTGGAGGTTCTGAACTTTCATATGAGGCCTGTTCATATCATGAGCATGAGAAAAACCTGTGTCTTCTATCTGCAACGTAAAGCGGTGGCAACTAGGGTTCAGTTTTGTCAGGTACATTGGCTCCTCTACCTTCCTCCTCAGGGTTAGGAAGTTGTGAATACTGAGAAAACGTCTATTGTAACACTGGCCACTCATTTACACCAGAGCGTCACTCAGTTTGGCTCATGCAGGTTTGCGTTCACACTGAAATGTCAAGGTGTAAAGTGACTGTAAAAATCCATTCTGACCAGTAGGGGGAACCATTTAGTATAAACTAAAGCATTATTTCCTTTTTTGCCATAACAAACATTGTAGTTGTAAATATTAATTATTTTGTGATTATGTATTTTCATTCTTTCAGATCCTCAGGGGAAATGAGGACTATCTGACTGACATGTTGGACCCTCACAACTTTATTGATAACAAGTAAGTCATAATATCTCCTCATCTTAAAAGAGCACTGTGTAACATTTCTACTGGACGGTCCGCAACCTGCGGGTCTCCTTGGATATACTGTATCATCATATATCAAGAAGGTTACAGCTCTATGCTACATTACAATTCAGATCTGTGGAGAGTTGCTCCTATATGCAATAGAGGTGTGCAAAAATATTGAAATATCTCTATTGTATCATTTAATATGGTGATACAGTATCGATATCAGGTACTGCTGTATCAGTATATTGCTAAGTCGAGTATTGAGTATTTTTGGTATATTTTACTAAATTATTTTGTTACAGTGCTATAGTTTTGTTGTTTCTTCAGAAGAAGGAAACTCATTTATGTGACACATTTTCACTGTTTTGATGATTAAAATGTTTGTGTTTCATATGAACTTGGCACAAGAAGTGGCCATGATTTAGCCATTATTTTTTTATTGACCCATATCGAACCGAGTTGAAATATATATCGTATCAAACCAAAAATGCACTGTATTGAGATATGTATTGTATCGCCAACTTCTTAATGATACCCAGCTCTAATACATAGGAGGAATTACTGTATTTTTGATCAATAGAAACACTCATAATGGATAAACACTAAATGGATATGTTTAGTCAAACCATGGCACATTCCATAACGGACCCTCCCCCAGAAATCTTGCGCAGTGCACTTTTAATGCACAAATATTACATAACATTTCCGCTGTTGTCTTTCAGTAAAGCCATGAACCGGGAGTATGAGGAGTACGTTCTGACAGTGGGGGACTTCGATGAGCGAGTGTTTCTTGTAGCAGATGCCGATGAGGAAATTGGGACTCCCAGAAAAGCAGTTCATGAACCTCTCCACACGGCAGCGCACAGCCAACTTCAACAACACTTCGAGAAGGTACACACGGATTTTAGCCCCTCAAAAAATAAATCAGCCCATGTTTTGAGTATGTAGCAAACGTATTGGACAGATGTTTCTAAATATTTTGTGAATATTGTCTAATTATGCCCCAGATTTGAAGAGAAAATTTTAAATGCTGAATATATATTTTAGTAATACATTTTGAGCAGCATTACCAAAGGGGAGCATCTGCTGAAACTGTAGTAGTAGAACTTAATATACAAGTTTGTATGTGATAGCTAATATCACTAGTAGCTAGCTGTATTGTGAATTAAGTGTACAACTGCAACGCATTTGCGTTTAATGAGGTTTAAATCTATTAACACGCACATTAAACACTTCAGTTTTTTTTTCCTTAATAAGATAAAATCACGTATAATTAACATACATTATGAGTGTGATTAAAATCTTATGTCCGTCCAGGTAATAAGGCCTATACGTTTATATGTTGATACAGAGTCCTGCACCGATGGATAAGGGAAAATAGTCGCTGAAACGGGCGAGTTTTAACGTTCTGGAATTTTAAGGGCAGGTCAAGACTAATTCAGGTCTAAACCAGGTCTAAACCAGGTCTAAACCAGGTCTAAACCAGGTCTAAACCAGGTCTAAAGCAGTCTAAACCAGTCTAAACCAGGTCTAAACCAGGACTAAACCAGGACTAAACCAGGACTAAACCAGGACTAAACCAGGACTAAATCAGGTCTAAACCAGGTCTAATCTTGGAGAGAGAGAGAGAGAGAGAGAGATAGCGAACCCTGAGCCCCGCGGAGCAGGTGTCCTAAAAGCGCGACGGCTGCACTTACCTGTTCTCCAAGCTCTGCACTGGTCCTTTCGCCCGCGGACACTTGGGGCTACACGGAAGGACCTCTGAGTACATTTCGACAGTGAGTCCTGGTCCTGGGTTAGTCCTGGGTTAGTCCTGGGTTAGTCCTGGGTTAGTCCTGGGTTAGTCCTGGGTTAGTCCTGGGTTAGTCCTGAGTCCTTGTAGAATTGGTGTCTGACATCGTAAATCACATGCGCGTTGTTTACGTCGCTGTCTTGACTTTGGTTAAATTATTTTGAAAGGGCATCGGAAGTTTATTTTGACACCGCGTGTTTATTTCCTGTCTTTTCCTTGCTGAAAACCTTGGAGACGCGCCGTTGACGCTGCAAAATTAGAACTCCAACCTATCTCGAGCAGCGCGTCAGCGACTGACGCTCGTTGGACGCGCGTATGACACTGTCGGTGTACACTGTCAGACCAGTTAAAATGGAGTTCTAAAGCTGAGCGTCTGCTGCTCGTGTGCTGTGCTGCTGTGCTTACGCGCCGTTGCACTTTGGTGTGAATTGGGGGTCAGACAAATTTTTCTTGGCCCTCAGGTTTCCAGGTGAATTGGCCCAAATTATTTTGCCTCAATTAAAAACTTACTTTTTACTGCAAATTTTTTTGAAAATCTACCTTGATGAAGCTAATATTTAATATTTAGTGTGTGGTTTTAAGGATCTTTGCATGAATAAAGACTGAAGGCTCATTCTAACATGTTAAACATGCACATATTTCAATTATTCACTGTATTGAGCATCAGTCTACGGCCCTCGATCAGCCCTCTGCTTCGTCTGTGTTTAAATATGTGGGCCTTGATGAAAAAAATTTGGACACCCCTGGTCTAGTTATTGATCAAAATAAGATTACACTTTCTTTTAGTAGTTGTCTAGTCACATTTATTCTGATTTATCGCCCTATTGTAATTATAAAATTGTGTTCAGGCATATAACTTTAAATGTTTTCCTTTTTTTTTTTTATAATCTCTCTCGTTTATTCCACAGTCGGGATCTCTGGCGCCCTCTACGCCTCTGACAGGGCGAGTTTACCTGAAGGAGAAGGACCTCCTGGTCACGCCGGTGTCGTCTGCTACTCAGAGTGTCAGCCGGCTGCAGAGTATGGTGGCCCGTTTGAGGACAGCCCCCAGTGAAAACCTACTTCAGATATTTAAGTTAGTTTAGCTTTTTGTTCTTTGCCTCTTTCTTCATACACAAAAAAGTCTGAAGAAGAAGGTTATATTCACGCTAAGTTTCAAACTGGATTACATGGACATTTTGTAATTTATTTTTAATTAATTTGTGTTTACTATCAGAAAATTGCCCAGCTCAATTAACATGTTTTTTTTAAATAGACATTTAGCTTTAAACATTGAATCCCTGTAACAGCTATTAAAATAATCTTGATTAGAACTCACACCATTTGTCATTGTGCTAATTAATGTTTGTCTTATATTTAAAGGTCCTGCACCCGAGATCCCACAGACGGCATTTTGGCTCGAGTCAAAACATTGGGACAAACTTTCAAAGAACATTACACCAACGACTCTGACGACTCTCCAGGATCACATATAGGTAGGTAGAGTGTAGATACAGTGTGCAGTGTTATCAGAGGTTGTTGAATTATCTTTGAATCTGCAAATTCTTTTCAGACTTTGCAGAAAATCGACTCAAGTTGGCTGAAATCCTCTACTACAAGATCCTAGAAAATGTCATGGTTCAAGAGACCAAACGCCTACAGGGAAAAGACATGAGTGTAAGGCTTCTCTTGTCCGCTGAATTAGTGTATTAAGTTTTTTTTGTCTTGGATTTGTGAGAAGTATCTTTGACTTATTTTTGAGATGTGTTCTGTATTTTGCAGGTGTTGCTGGAGCAGGACATGTTCCACTGCTCGCTGATGGCCTGCTGTCTGGAGGTGGTGCTCTTCTCGTACAGTTCTCAGAGGACCTTCCCCTGGATCATCAACGTCTTTAAACTACCTCCATTTTACTTCTTCAAGGTCAGTCTCACCAGTCTGACAACACCAGGAAATAAGAAACTAAGTGTAATGTAACTGACAAAACAGGCAACGTTTAGATGATGTAATGGATCATGTTGATACAAATTTACAAGATTTAAAAGAGTATATAAAATTATAGCAGGATTCAGTTATTTCTATTGGTTAATGATCTGCTTTGGTCTAAAGTCCTGTTAATAATCACAGGTGATTTGAAGCAGAGGCCCAACACTGGAGAAAGAAATTTAGAAACGCCATTGTTAAATGGCAATGATTAAAATGTGTACCTTTCAAGGAAATGTATATGGAAAAAAGCCATTTTAAGTTATCTTCAGTGAGACAATCTAATTAAAACTTGTGATCAGTGTAATGAAAAGAAATGCTGAAAGAAACTAGAAAATCTGTAAACATGGAAGAATACAATAGAGGAAATAGAAACATGTATCTTGGTTTAAACGTTTACAAAGGAATAAAACAGGCTGTACAAATTATGTACAATAATTATTACATTGTTACCCTGTGAACAGGTTTGCTTGGCCACTTAATTTTAAAGTTTAAATTCAATTCTACTTCCTGTGCTCATACTTGTTTACAGTCAGAAACAGAATTTGTCATTTCAGTATAAAAAGTACACAGAAACAAAACACTGTTCTAGATTATCAGCAGCACATAAAACAACAATAAAATGTTGGATGTCAAAGGTAGTCTTTAAAAACAACTCCTAAAGCCGTCCTATCTCTCTCCTGTATGCAGGTGATCGAGGTGTTCATCAGAGCAGAGGAGGGCCTGTCCCGGGACATGGTGAAGCACCTAAACTCCATCGAGGAGCAGGTCCTGGAGAGTCGAGCCTGGACCTCAGACTCTGCCCTGTGGACCGCTCTGCAGGCCGCGGGCAACAAAGTGCCCACTGTGGAGGAGGTCAGTGACAACAGGACACAAAATTACGCTTTCAGATCTGTGGAGAGTTGAAAATCATGCTTTTCAAGGTTTTTTGTAGAAAATAAAACACCTGTAATGGAATGTGATGCACCATGGATATGTTTAATGCCATACTCTGGAATATTACAACCAATAAAGTAATGATACATAACACTTGTATGGCACTTTTCAAGATATGCAAAGGCACTTTACATGAAGAGACAAACAAAGAAAGTTAATGAAAGGTGATCTGAAAGAACATCTCAAGACTCAGAGCATCTTTTGGATACTGAACTGAGTTTCCGCCGATTATTTTAATTGCTGATAGGTAATGAAAGCAGGAAGAATTATCATTTTTCTAGAACAAATACATTTTTGTTTCTTCAGCTTATATTTCATCATAATTTTTCATCATTTTATAACTACCATCTCTAAATCTGCAAGTTTGCCACTAACCACCGGGTTTACGTGCTAACTGTCTGCATGGAATCGAATGTTCTCTTGTGAAAATATTTGACTTTCTGATTTACTTTCATGTCCATTTTCCTGTCTGTGTGGTCTCCAGGTGAATTTCTCCTCCAGCCTGGACACTGGCTCCAGCTCCACAGGGGGGAACAGTTCCTCAAACTCATCCCAGCAACAGTCTCACCTGCCCATGGTCGCCCTGTCCCCTATCATCCACCCGCGCATCAGGGAATTCAGAACCACCGTTGGCAGCTCAGTCAAAAGTAAAGACTTTTTTTATTATTATTATTATTTTAATCTGTTGCATTTTTTTTTCCAAGATACTTAAGGTTACCCAGTTTTTAGCAGCTTATATATTACTACCAGATGGTTCAAACGTAGATGGTAAATTTTAAGCGTACTTTAACCTTAATATATATGTTTTTAATCACAAACAGCATTACAATCTGATGGTAAACTTGGTCCATATTTTTTAAATATCTCTTTCTTTTTGTGTCCCCAGCTGTCCCCGCCTCCCCTCTGACCGTCCATGACAGATACAGCTCCCCCGCAGCAGGAAGTGCAAAGCGTCGTCTTTTCGGCGATGATCCTCCGTCGACGGGGGCAACGACCAATGGGAGCGTGATGCCGTCTCCTGCTAAGAGACTGACCTTTGGATCCACCAGTACGCTCAAGATCGCCCCCCAGCCCCCCACACCAGGCACCGTGGTACTGCAAGGTAAGATCAGAGCCAAAATAAAAATAAATATTGTCAGTATTACCTACAAATTGATTCACAATGGATTATATATATTTTTCTTCTTGATATAAAATAATCTGTTATGGTTAAATTGAGCCTGCCAGTGTGCTGTCTGCATCTTCAAGTGTTTTGTACTGACTGTAAACACAAAAGTAATTCTGGTGCGCTGTTGGCATGCTAGTTGTTAGCATTACTGTGACTGCAAAACTACGCTCTGTCCTCTGAAAGTTTTAATGAGATTTTTATAAACTCATTTTGGTGAATAATGCTAGGAATGCATTTGGAAAGTGTGACAAAATATTGAAATAGCCAGTTCAAAATTAACTAGTTATCTTTTTCCTCAATTTTAAGACAATAAAAACAAGTTTTGGGTTCCCACAATAGTAATTACATTCATGAATTTTTTGGAGCCACATTACATTTTCAATTTTATCACTATTAATTTACACTTGGTATCTTTATATTATTATATATAAGTTGTAAATAAAATGATCTCCTTGTTCTGAGAGTTCAGACTTCACTATGATTGGTTGATTCCACCTGTCAAGCATTCGAAGCCTTGGAGAGGACAATTGGAAGAGTAAAGTGTCACCTTCTAGCCTTATCTCAACTTAAGCAATAAATTAAAACAGCAAAACAGTCAACAGAAGTTTGTACATTACCCTGGCAATACTCCAGAGATGACTATCTATTACTAGCCTACTTAAATGGATACAATTCAGTCTTTTTTTTTTTTTTTTTTTTCTTCAGGTTTGAATACAGACCGCACCATCACGCTGATCCCAGTGCAGCAGGTGAACCCCTCAAACGCAGTCACTGCGCACTTCCTGCTCACTACGTCCCCAAGTCGGGTCAACGTGGCCCCCTCGACCTCTGACCCCCAGGCAGGGAAGCCGCGGCGCACAGGCTCACTGGCTCTGTTCTTTAGGAAGGTAAAGAAGTCACAGGAATATTCACAAGTGTTCCATCTACACTATATGAACGATAAAAAAAAAAAAAAATAGGATAGCTTCATTGGACAGAACTTTCAAAACTGCCCAAACTTTAAAATTAGCAGGGGACAAGGTATGAATTTTATAGTAATTTGTCAAAATGCAAACTTTTTTAAACTGGTTTATAATTATTAACTGTAATTACTGGGTCTAATCTCATTAAACCGAAACTGTATTCTTTGTCAGCTCAACTAAGATAATCTATTTCCTTTCAATAGTTTGTGTGAATGTGTGAGAATGTTGTCACTTTTTTAACAAATGGATAACTTGACTACTACTAAATTCTAGCTATGTCAGGACTACTTAGCTCTTGGGTCCATGAAAACTTTTGACTTTGAAGGCCACTCATTTATAAGTCTTGTCTTGTTTATGTTCATGAAATCCATATTCAAAGCCAATGGAATTTCTTTTTGAAAGGAAAATATCCAGTCAAAAATCAGGATCTCTCATTCTTGATGTTTATTTCCCATATTACCCAAGCTGATCAGATTTTTTTTTATCATAATGAAGACCAAAATGTAATCTATATGATGATTTGATCTATTTGAAGATTTTATGATTTGTTCATTGTCACGTGCTGCAGTCTTACTTTTCATTTCACCTCTACAGAACTTGTAGTAGTAACTGTCTCGTCCATGTGCAGGTGTACCATTTGGCCAGCGTGCGTCTGCGTGACCTCTGTCTGAAGCTGGACGTCAGCTCGGAGCTGAGGGGGAAGGTCTGGACCTGTTTTGAACACGCTCTGGTTCACTGCACCGACCTCATGAAGGACAGACATCTGGACCAACTGCTCCTCTGCAGCATCTACATCATCTCTAAGGTAACAGGCCAAGCATGTTCAGTTAAATATCTACTCTTCAATTGTTTTGTATTATGTTTAATTGCTATTTTACACTATGTTATTGAATTGTGGACTAAACATGTATTTCAGGGAACCTTTCAGATTCTTATCAGATCAATTCTTTTTTTCTGCATTTTCTATAGGTGACCAAAGAGGCAAACACCTTTCAGGACATTATGAAGTGTTACCGAAGCCAACCTCAGGCCAACAGCCATGTAAGTAACAGCAGGAACAAATAATATGTCTTTAAATGAATATCTTTGGAACAAGATGGTTTAATAATATGTGTGTGTGGGTAGGTGTACCGGAGCGTTCTGATTCGTCGCGCCTCCAGAGAGCAGGTGCCAGATGAAAACATGGAGGTGGACCCGGCCTCTGGAGGAGAATGTAAGACCATACACTGCATACCATATTATTCACAATATTCACTAGCAAAGACCACGGCACAACAATGGTGTATAATAGAGATATTCATTGATGATATGGATTATAAAGTATAGCATCTAGGCACAGCACCACAGAAACACTGGCTCCAGGTTGTGAATACTTTTCTTGTAAATTAAAAAAAATTTAAATGAAAAAGGATTAAAAAGCAAATAAAAATGTCTTGTGTCTAAATGCAGCTGCGGAGAAGAGCAGTCAGGGCTCGGGGACTGACCAATCAGGAGAGGAGGAGCGTGGTGACCTCATCCAGTTCTACAACTCCGTGTTTGTGCTCAAGATGAAGAGTTTTGCCCTCAGATACGCCAGTCATGACAACAAGGTAACTACAGATACAGTATATTATTAACAGTTGTTTTACAGGTGCACTGTGTAACTTTTCTGGTGTAGGATCTGTCAAATGTCTCCATGGAGTGTTTGGAATGTTTCACAGTATAGTTTTTCTATGTATTTTTGAGCTATAAAACCACCTGTAATTCAATAAATGTAAGGTAGAGGTGTTTAATGTCATACTGTGGAACATTCCAAGCAGAGCAATGACATGTCCATAGAAACAAGCAGGTGCCGGACCCCCATCCAAAAAGTCTGCGTTACACTTTTTAATTCACAACCTTTTGAATTGTGAAATAAACCATGTCTTATTTTTGCATACTTTCAGTAAATGGGACAATTAATGAGTAAACTGATTTATTTGATATAATCTGACAAATCAGGCCTTCAAGTAACATTTCTGTACCTTCTCCTGTTTCAGTCGGATGCCCCGCCCCTGTCCCCGTTCCCCTCGGTGCGAGCGCAGCCTCTGTCTCCTCGGAGGATTTCTCAAAGACATTCTCTGTATGTGTCTCCTCACAAAAACTCCCCCAGCTGTCTGTCCCCCAACTCTTACACCTACCGCATCAACAACAGCCCCTCGAAGGTAAGCACACCCTGCATATTTAGGCTAAGTTATTCTCTGTTCCACCTTGTGATGTCATGTGGTACAGGAAGTGCTACACTGTGCTTTTAAACTCCACACATCTTCACTAGAATCAGCTCCGGAATGGAAATCTCTACTAAACAAAAGGGCAAAAGGTAGCTGTTCAGTTGAAAACTACCGCTTCATGACATCACAAGTTGGAACAGAGCATTTTAAGCTTGAGAGATGTAAACAGCCTAGACAGTAATGCAGTGTTACTCAAGTGAAACAAATGTGAATGAAACAAAACACAACTCCAGGTATATTTTGGAGGATTTAGCAGCATTCTAACATGGTGTCACGATAATTATTATATCGACTTATCATTCAGTATGTGAAAGCTGGAACAATATTTTTATCATGTGTACATTTTCTTTGCACTAAAGGGAAATTTGTGGTTACGTTTTGGCTGTACGATAAGATTTAAGCTGTTAAAAGTTTAATCAATAATTTCTAAGATGCAAACTAAGTACTAAAGTGTTTTAATTGGCTATTTGGCAGCTCATGTTTTTTTTTTTTTTTTCAACAATATTGCAGATTTAGAATAGTTTTTGTAGTTTAAATCAGCTACTGAGCTATTGTGTCAGTTGTATAAATTTGTTTTAATATTATCGTTTATTGTCTATATTTACTTTACTATTTATAGCAGTATATTGAACTTGAAAATTTCTTATCATGACAGGCCTGTACAAGAATCAATTTTGTGTAATAAGACCATTTAAGCTGCAGTAATAGTAATAATAGTAGTAAGTAAGTAAGTAATAATAAAATATTTTTTCTGCTTATCAGGAGTTGTCAGACATAAACCGTATGATCCGTCAGGGCTGTGTGAGCCGTAAGAGGGCCTTTAACATCGATGGCGACGTTACGATGTCATCGTCGTGCGACTCTCCCAGTAAGAGGGTGTGTCCTGAGAACGGCAGCAGTCCTGATGTTCTGCTGAAGAGACTACAGGACGTGGTGTCCGAGAGGCAGAGTCACTGAGCCCTTGTATTTATATGAGATAAGTGTTGGGTTTGGGTTTAACATAATCAAGTATTATGGTTTCTACATATTTATTGTCTTTCTACTATGACCTAAGGGACATGTGACTATGTGAATGTCGTCCTTTTATAAACAGTTTTTCATCTGTTCTTTTACTAACGTACCAAATTTAAACAGCAAGAACTACATAGTCCAAATATGTAAATTGATAAACTGAAATTCCAATTTTTCGTCAAGTTATACCACAAAAAAAAGGCTGCCATCTTCAAACACAAATATATTCAATATTGTCAAATTATGACACGTATCAAATGTTTGATATAAAATACAAAACATGCTAAACAATATTGGGCTATGTGGAGTTTTATTCGCTGCTTTTGACAATTTGACATTGAACTAAAATAACAGACCATTTGACTCTTAGTTTATTTTTTTCCCCCAAAGATTTCTAATTACTTTTATTAAATTAGCAAAACTCACACCAGCTACTGACATTACACCAAACCTTAACCACTTAAGCACAGTATTAACAGCAATAACATTTTACTCTTCCTTTTATCTTTTTATTCCAGAGAATACATCTAGTTTGACAGACTGTTGTATTTTGGTCCTTCTAAAACCTGTAAATAGTTGTCTTTAACAAATGAATGAATCCAGTTTTAATCTCCTTTAGTTCTTTGTGCTGCAGGACAATGTGTATTTTAATATTTGTACTTTCTTGTCTCGAGCTGTTATGGGCTAATTGTATGTCAAAATGCTGATCACCGGCATATTTGTGTGTAATTGTGTAGCATCTACACAACCTTTTATTCCTGTTTTACTAATACGAGTCCTGTGTTGGAAATATGACTTGGTGTAATTGAAATTGTTTATTTTTTCACTATAAAAGGCAATAATGATTCACACTTCACACTCATGTTCAACAAAGCACAACTGTATTTTCTGTAAGACAAGTTTTACAATAAATTTCCTTTATAAATGTTGTTTTTGACTACACTGTATTTTTATAAGAACTATTCAAAAAGTAAATTCACAAATGTTGATCATTTCTTTTAGAGGCTAAATCTCAAAACCACCTCTGTTACAACAAAAATCTGCATTTTAACAGTATTCATTTTAATGGCATTAAAGAGGGGAGTATTTTACTTCTATGGGGGTGAAAAAGCTATATATTCCAACAAAACAACATTGTTTTATAAGTTTCATTTTTTGACGCTCTCCGTGCTAACTCACTCCCCCTTCAGAGTGCTGTCACAGCACAATTGGTGTATACATCTCATTAATCAAACTACTGCACATCACATCAGGTTTGTGAGTTGTAGTGTACAGTTTTGTATCATGCTTTTGTGTATTTATGGAGCATGGGTGATGTTGGCTTGTGGGCTGAGCATTGGACTGAATCTTACAGCTAATCAAAAGAGAGTGTTTCCCAAACTTTTATTCTGGAGACCCATATTTTAAAAGTTTGTGACCATTATTGAACATTAATGAGGATATTTTATTGTTGACTGAGTGATCGTGTCTCTCTGAACAATTAGTGTTACTCAACAGTGAAAAACAGTAATCAGTGTTTCCCACAGAAAATTGGTTAGGCAAAGCTGTGCTGCCGCAAAAGTGAGGAGCAGGGGGTGCGTGGAGAAGAAGTGTGATGACCGTAGTTTTGCGAGAATGGTTTGGAGGGACATAGTCAAGACGGGAACCATTATAAAGTGCTACAGGAAACACTGGTAACTGAACCAGCAATAAGCAGTATCCATAAGGAGCCTATTTGGACATCAAATGTAGCCCTATATGTATGTATATACTGTATATGTATATTGCAGACCTACATGTAGATCGGGACAAGGCAACCCAAAAAAAGTCTCTTGCAACCCACCGGAGGTCGCAAACCAGTCATTGGGAAACAATGCGCTAAATTACTGAAACATGCATGGATGACATCTAAAACCTCTTCAGACATGTTTGTGATGCCGGTTATAACATGGTAGAAAGTGCCAAAAAAGTATTTTCGATAATACCCCCTCTTAAAATATGACTGGCCTTTTAGAATGCCGTGAAGCCATCTGAAACCCAACAAAACCACAGACATTTAGAAATATGTTCCATTCCAGTGGTGAAAAAATAATATGAATTACAAACTGGATCAAGTAATAGAAAAAAAGCCAAATTTTGATTACAGATCTCTTCCAAGGCACTGGTCCAATCTTGCAATCTTAGAGAGATTACATTTCTAGCTTGATAAACATGCATTATTTCTGTGAACGGGATCACCTTTCCACAGATCTGACCTGTAACCCTGCTCGTGTCATCTGTTTGTCTCCATGGAAATAGATAAGTTTAATGCATTACTGTGGAACATTCCTGACACGGCAATATAGCATAATCTTGGAGACTAGAGAAAAATATTACTCTTATTACCCTTTTATTTTAGTCTGAGTTTAGTCCACATTTTTGCTACTAACAAACTAAAATAGCAATAGTGTGGTTGTTTAGATCTAATTGAGTCCTAGTTTAGACCTCGAATAGTCCTATCTAAGACCTGGTTTAGATCTGGGGTTACTCGGAAGTCCATATATTTTCCTGTTTGTAAAAAATTTGATTGAGAACCTAGTTGTTGCTATGGATAATTCATCACCCATCCACTTAAACCTTATAAATACCATTACTTCAAAACATCTCATTCATTAATTCATATTTTAATTAGTGCTTCAATGCAAAGTGTTCCACAATTTACTTCTTCTCAAATCTCTGTCAGGCCAGTCTCCTTGGTAACCCTTTTCCTCATTCATCATTTTGTGCAATTACAATATTTAATCTACGTTTTGTTAAATAAATGATTCACTTGTGCCCTTAATCATACAAAAATGACGTCTGTGGTTAAACAAATCAATAACTCAATGTCATTTTCCCCTCTTATCTATTCTACCACTTTCTCGAGAGGATAATGTTACACTATGATGAATGGTTTCTAGCTTTTTCTAATTAAATATGAGATTGGAGCGAGAATTAAGGCTAACAGCTCAGTTATAGCTCGCGGGTTGCTGGTTCAGTTCCTCCTACACGCACTAGTATAGCTGCTGTGTCCTCGGGCAAGACACTGAGGTTGTCTGATTGGTCGTTTGCCGCAGACATTTTTGCCAGAGCACAGTGAAATCCCAAAGCGGAATGGGTGGAGTTTTGGTAATTGGAAAATGAAATTAAAATTATCCAGAAGATGAGAGTTCCTACTTTTTCATTTCAAACTAAGGAGGAGCGAAGATTATAGCAAGAAGTCCTCATCCTTCTTCATAGAACTACTGTCAAATACTGAAGAACTGTTATTCAGCTCTAAGATAGGCTATAACTTCTAACTTATATTTAAGGCGCTATAATATTTCAAGTTCTCAGTCCATTTGTTATTTTCAGTTCAAATTCTAGTGAGTCGTATGGACAAAACTATGTGTGTGTGTCTTGCAAAAGGGCGCAATGGCAGTAGGTAGTAGATAGTGTAATCCTGTCAGTGGGAACTAAATACGCAGTCACTCACTTCTGAAATATTTTATGTGTTAGTTTTCATGTTCCAACTGTACAAAACCACACACACTTTTACAATACTTAAGGAAAGGCAAGTTTATTTGTATAGCACAAACACAAAGTAATTCAAAGTGCTTTACAGAATGAGAAATACATTAAAATCCAAATACAAACAAATCAAAACATAAATAATCATCATAAAATTAAAAAGCGAGAGACATTAAATTAGAGAGAAGAGTGTGGAAATAAAAATCTTTCAGTCATACGCTCAGCTAAACAGAATAGTTTTGAGCCTGGATTTAAACAGAGTCAGAGTCCTGTCTCACATGTTCAGGAAGGCTCTTCCAGGTTTTAGCTGCATGAATCTGAGTTGCTGACTCCCCTTGTTTAGTCCTGACTCTGGGCACCAGCAGGAAGACGGTCCCTGAGCTCAGAGTGTGAGATGGTTCATATGACACTAACATGTCAGAGATGTACTTTGGTGCTCGGCCATGGAGAGACTTGTACACAAGCCTCAGTCTATTTTCTGAGCCACAGAAAGCCTGTGCAGAGACCTGAGCACAGGACGCATGTGCTCGAACTTCCTGGTTTGAGTCAGGACCCGAGCTGCAGCCTTCTATGTTCTGCAGCCTCTCACAGCTCGTTTGGAGAGGCCAGTGAGCAGAACAATACAATAGTCTAACCTACTGGAAACAAACGCATGGATAATTGATAAGTCTCTCCAAGTCTACTTTACACAGTGTATCTTTGATTCTTGCTATGTTTTTTAGATGGTAAAAGGCTGCAGATGTTATTGATTTGATGTGGCTGTTAAAGTTCAAGTCTGAGTCCATTATTACCCCTAGATTTCTAGCCTGATTTGAAGGTTTTAGAGAGAGAGAGAGAGAGACTGGAGGTGACTGCTAACACTGTCTCTTTGTTTCTGTGGGCACTTAACTTAACAAGAAGTATAGCCTGGAACCATCACTTGTCTCCATGATTTCCCATGAGCCTATTAACATGTGGATGAACCAACTACTGAACAAACAAAGCACTAAAGTAAAGAAGTCTTGTTGTGAATGATACGAGGAGATAAATTCTGCACTGAGAGACACGTGCTACAAATGAGCGGCTGATTGGACCATCTCAAGTCAGGACGGAGGTTTGACACGCTTCATGGTCTGGTCCCGCACTAATGTACAAAACAATACATTGGAAATTAAGTTAATAACAAAGTTTTAAAATTTTTGTATGTATATTTTTATTTTAAATTCCATAATCATAAATCAGCTATTTGGTTATTGTGTCAGTTGCATAAATTAGTTTTAATATGATCATTTATTGTCTACTTTACTTTACTTGTACTGTATACTTACTTTACTGTATATTTTTATTTTAAATTTGATAATCATTACCTACCTGTGTCCTAACATACAAGGTAAACATGATCAAATCAAATATTGCTTAGACTGTGTCCTCTACCTGCAGGTTTAGGCACATTTATCAAATCAAAATCAAATCAAATTTATTTGTACAGCACATTTAAAACAGCCTAAGTTTACCAAAGTGCTGAACAGTGAAATAAAACATACAATTAACCAGAATAATAATATACTAAAAATAATAACGGGAAGGTACCAACTTTAGGTTAACTTATGATTGTAATACCTTTTTTTTAACAGTAAGAGTGCAGGTTATGTGCAATTTATTTATGTAATTTTTTTTTACAACTGAATTAGAACTAATACTGTTCAACTTCGGTTCAGCCCACCTTGTTGTTGTTCATTTTCCCACCACTAGAGGGCAATATAATCCAGCACATCACACCCAGCAGACAGCCTGACCTCCGACTCCCAGGAGGACGGTGTGAGATTGTTACAGAGCTGGAGATCTGACCTTACCGTGACCGTGCGCTCTCTGCTTCACTCCTCCCTCATGACCTTTGACCCTGCGGACTGACCCATGGGAGTGATTGCAGTTATTTGGATGCAGCTCCCTCCTGCTCTCAATCCTCCTCTCAGCGGGCTCTTTTTCTCCTACAGAATACCTATAGAGACAGAAATGTCAACAGAAGCGAAAGATTTCAATACGCACTTTTATAAAATTACACAAAGTACAATAACATTACCTCCACCTATGCTAATTGATTAATTAATTATACACCTATGTATGTATTTTGAATTTGTCAATTTGCTTCGTGTAACTTTTCTGGTGGAGGGTTTGTCAAATGCTTTTCTCCATGGAGATGTTAGTACCATAGTGTGAAACATTACAGATAAAGCAATGAGTCTTTTTATCTTCATGGAGACCAAACCAGACCAAGTCGCAGGTCAGATCTGTGGAGAGGTGACCCCGCTCACAGTCAGAATGCCTGTTTTTCTAGGTTTTTTGAGCTACAGATATTAAAAGACACTCTTTCTTTAGACAATAGAATGGATTTTCAACATTAAATTGTAGTACTTTCTTTTTGTGGTCTTGTATCTGTGTAATCC